TGATGCAACTATCACCATCAACCGTTGCCTTTTACTCGTGAAATCTTTGACAGTTTCACCCACTCATTAATCATTCAGAAGGGTGTGAAATCTGAATATGTGAACAAGTCTGTCGTGCATGAATAGCTGAACATTGTTTTACGTCTTCCGTTGGGATTTTATTTATTAACTACTGAGATTAGTGACACATTGATATCCTAAGTCTTACCCGGTAGCAAAGTGTGGCTAGCAAGCAAACAACCTCTCAGTTATACTTTTGGTTCAATCTTCTCGCAATCTCTTTGATTCACACTGTACTACAGTACGCTTGACACTCCAGTAAAGTACATGTACAGAAATATTGGAGCATGGAGCACCAGCCACCAGGTGCTCTTCTTTGTATGATCTGAAGGACACTAAACAAGTTCTTTTAATCTGAAATACTAATCCTTATGTTTCAGACAGACCACGGTCATGTACTCATGTGTAAGAGTCTCTTGGCAGGAGGCCAGGAGCAATGGTAGCGATCCATTTCTAAGTGGGCCGAACGCATGCGATTAGGGTCTATTGGCCCAAAAAAGCCCAACTCAGAGGCCCATTACGGTTAGGGTCAGGTTTCCCAACTCGGCCCAATTATCAAACCGAGGTAGGAACTGGAAATCGGAATTCGGAAGCATACGCCGATTCATAGTTCGCTTCGGATTACATCTCCGACTCCGTAATGGAGAGGAAGAACAGAACACGTCATATAGATATAGGGTCGCACCATTACGCTCTCCTCTCCCCACCTCTTCGGTCTTCGCGTGTTCTCGTGATCTCGTCCAGTGCCACCGTTCGAGCGATTCAGCAAACCAGAGCGCGCGCGCGCATTCGCATTGTCGCATCCATGGACGGCCTCCGTCTTCCCGTCGTCCCGGCAATCCGCGTCGGCAGCCAGCTGCACCTCGCCGCCGCCTACACGGCGCCCGGTGCCGGCCGACGCGGCTCATCCGGCGCCGCAGGGCCGCCGCCGGCGCTGATGGCCGACGTGAGGGTCGTCGTCAGGAGGCACTTCCCCGTCGGCCCGAACCCCACGAAGGGCGCCGGCGGCGCCGTGATCGTCCGGAAGGTGGCCGAGGACATCGCCGTCCGGAGGCAGCCGTCGCGCGGGCTACGGAGCCCGGAGAGCGTGGAGCGTGTCCTCGCCGAGCGCGTCCTCCCGCTCGTCGGGCACCCGTTCGACCGCCGCGCCGTGGCCGTGGCGAGCAAGCAGATATGCGCGTACGTGTCCGCCGCGTGCGCCGACCCCCGCGTCGCCCACGGCGGCGTGCGGGTGCTCGTCCTGCTCGACACCTTCGCGTGCGGGACGTTGTTCCACCCCGCGCCGCCGCGCAAGCAGTGCTCCGGCGACGCCAGCTCTCTCGAGGTCGGCGCCGTCGTGAGGACCTGTCCGTGCATGGAGATCGTTGGCCCGGGGAGCAAGAAGGATCCGCAGCTCGCGTGTCCGTGCATGGACATTGGGGCGAGAATGCCGAGCAAGAAGCCGAGGTCAGTCGGCGTCATCGGAGACGGCCGGCCGGCGAAAGACGGCGGCGAAGATCGGCTGAAAGGTTGGCTGCCGTGGTAATTAGGATCTCGAGCTACACGGAGGACGCGGAGGGTTATCAGTTCTTCTTCAGGATCTAAGTACGCCGATAGATGAACAACACCGTGTCTCTGTACATGTTCGTGTCTGTATTTATGTTCAAGGAAGAACTTGAAAGTTGTAGATTTTCATTGATCTCTTATATGCAAGAAACTTGCATTGGTCGCGGGAAACACCAGTTTTCTCGGTCGCAGGTGTTGTAAGTATAATTCGAGTCGAAAGATGTACTAACTCGTAAGATCATCGAGTCGAGTAATTCAATGTTTGGTCTTAAATTCCAATGATGCATGCGTCCCTTACACTACTTACACACAGTTATAGTGCATCAAAATTAGATTTTAGAATAGTTTTTTTCTCTATATTTGAGATTTTTATATGCTTATTTTTTTTATTTTCATTTAAATGGGCCATATACATCTCCACTATTATAAAAGTTTAAGATGTTTTTGCCTCAAATTTTCGTACGTTGTCTGATTTTTTATCCGTCGTCGCATCGGCATAGTTGCCGCACGCCCGCACGTCGCTCGGAGACGGAGATGTACAGGCGCTGTTGCATCTGACCGAGGAAGGCAGTAAGCGCTCTTGAGTCCTGATTTTTTTTTACCAGCTGAGCCATCTGTCCATCGCCGTAGGCCTCTTGGGCTCCTTCCTGTCTTGGCTGGTTCTGCTCCTGCCCAGCTAAATAGTTAATTATTATTTTTTCTGTTGAATTCTCATCTTTATGTTGGTATAAATAAATGGGATAAGATATTATACATGATTTATGATGAATTTGATAATTTTATCAACTCATGCGTTTTTCATGTACGTTTGTGTTGTGCATCTTTTCACTAAGCCACTTTTAACTGTATTCATTGTTTTTCTTTCGTTGATTCACCAGTTGAATATGTAATATTTGTATTCGGGGTTACGGGTTAGGTATACCCTTTACCTTTCGATATACGTCACATATCGGTATGGCATACCCACGCGCATACGGATACTCTCTACATACACTAAGGAAATCCTTTACGGAGTTTACGGACGAAAAGAGTCCTACTCGGACAAGACTGGGTCGTCAATGTATCGTGTAGGGTCTGATGTCTCCGAGTTTTACTTGAAAACCGCTTGACCTGCGATATAAAAGGGACCCCCCGGGGAGGACCTAAGGGATCGAATCTCAGAGCCAACACAACCCCCACAGCCTACGAAGTCGGAGCCTGCAGGAGCCAAATCGCCGGGGATCTAGTCGAACCAACTCGACTACGATCTCGCCGGATCCATCGAGTTCCATCGTTCCCTTTGTAACCTGTGTTTTCCGTCATATATCCCACATCAACTGGATTAGGGCTATTACTTATCAAGGGGCCTGAACTAGTATAATCTTCGTCTTTTGTTTGCTGGATGTCGTATTACGTAGACCCTTGTACCAACATACCCCGATATCCTCTATATCCGGTCTACGGGTATCACCCGTTGACAGATTCACCAGTTGAATATGTAATATTTGTATTTCTTTACCTATTATATATATATATTATATCTCTACTATTATAAAAAATTGAAGTTGTTTTTTTGCCGGTACTTTGGTAAGTCATCCATATATGAGTCGGTTTTTAAGTTCGTTTGCTTTTGGAAATGTAGATCTGTATTTGAGTCAAGTTCTAAGTTCGTTCTCTTTTGAAAATACAGAAGGAGTCGTAGAAAAAAATATTTTTAAAAAACTCGCATTCTAACTTGTGATGATCGGACTCCTAATTGTGGCTTATGATTTTCTAGAAGAACATATATCCAAGCGAATTCTCAAAGTGATTTTCATCTTAATTAAACCATATAACAATAATAAAATTAAAATAGTCTTCACCCGCTGCAACGCACGGGCATTTTTTCTAGTTGATTAAAAATTTAGAAACATCCAAAGCTATAAATCTATCGCAAGATTAATATGTAGTAAAGAAAAGAAAATAGGAAGAGAAGAAGAGCAAAAGGCAAAAAAAAAAAAAAGGCAGAAGCAGTCAGCGCAGCTAGCTAACGCATGCAGCAACAGAGCCGCCGGCCTTGGGCCTTGGCCCATTCGAGCAGCAGCAACAGTAGATAGCACGCAGCAGCTAGCCACATGCAGGAGTAGCGAGCAGCAGCAGCAGTAGTTACTATAGTTAGCTTGCAGCAACTAGCAACGGGCAAGGCAGGAGTAGCAGCCAAGCACAAGATATTAGCTCCGTGTTTAGTTCCGAAATATTTTTTCTTTTTCATCACATCAAAATTTTCCTACACACATAAACTTTTAACTTTTTCATCACATCGTTTCAATTTCAACCAAACTTCTAATTTTGACGTAAACTAAACATAGCCTAGGTATACGGGGTGGGCAAGCGGAGACTTTTCATCTATCCGCTTATTCCACCTGTAATTTTTAAAAGAAATTATACCACTATGTGGAAAATAAATTAGTAAGTAATTAGGTTTTTATGTTAACAGTGGAATTGCTCACATGTATTCCTACAAACTACTCCTGTATATACTACCTCGGTGGTATGGTGGAGTGTTTTGAAAAGAATGTCAGCTCAATGGCTATAATAACATCGGCTTTGAATTTTTTAGGCGAAGCTTGAGTAAAATGAGGTGTGTTACTATTGATGGGCTGTGTAGCCGTCTACACTATTTGTAAAGTACGGAGATCGTTAATATCAGAGTATACACGTGAAAATATATAGGACACATGTACTTTTATATAGGTTTGAGGCCCCTTACTGACATGTAATAACACTATTCCTTTTGACCGAAGCCAGTGTTGCCTTTATATATCAATATCTTACGAGTACAATATTGAGTATGAGTTGATCTAGTCTCCGTCAATCTAATAGCGGAAGCTCGATCAGGTGGTTGATGGATAATTTATATCGGCTTTCTCGAACAGGAACTCAGCAAGATTGGAGGTCGCGCTAAATCCCTTTTATCGGTCTTTGTGGCTTCATATGGTATTTGTCTAGGCTTATGTCAATGTGTTATTGGTTTTGTCTTGATCTGTACTGGCTTGTCTAGATCTATCATTCCATCTAGGCATGTCTTCGTGTATCATTCCCCACTCCTCTTGAGGAGTCTTCTATTTATATCGTCAGATGTCTCCTTGTTCAAATATAACTAGAGAGGTATGATTCGAGTAATATTTGTAGTGTTCGAGTAGGAATCTGTTTTTATTTTCTTATCGCAAATAACTTTCGTATATGAGTATTGATTCCGTATAAGACTTTGATATTATAATGGACCCCGCCAAGTCTTAACAGTATAATCTTATTTATAACTCTGACTGGTACAATCTAGTGTGATTTTCAATAAATTGACTCGCGTTTTCAACGGTTCCTGTGCGCGCGTCACGGTTTCCTTCCACGTCTCGTCGCTTCCCGCAATTTTTTCAGTCATGGCCGGCTCTAACCAAGAGCACGAGGCTGAGTCGTGGCCTCCGGCAATCTACCACCAGATGCCGGCGATCCTTGAGTACCTCGAAGACCACCGTGTCGTCGTCGTCTCCGCCGCGCCTGGCTCCGGCAAGTCGTCGGTGCTCCCCCGGTGCCTCGCCGAGAGCGGATACGGCCCGGTGCTCTGCGCGCAGCCCCGCCACCTGGCCGCGTTCGTGGCCATGGCGAAGGTCGGCGAGGAGTGGGATTCGGACATCGAGTTCACGACAACCCGGCAGCTCCTCGACAGGTTCAGCTCCCCGGCGCCGGTCCTCGCCGGGTACGGCGCCGTCGTCATCGACGAGGCGCACGACCGCACGCTCGGCACCGACGTCCTCCTCGGGATGGTCAAGGCCGCGCTGGCGACGGGGACGACGATGGGCGGCCGATGCAAGGTGGTGGTCTGCACCGCCGGCGGGCCGGCCGACGGCATGCTCTCCGCCTTCTTCGGCGGCGCGCCGGTCGTCTCGATCCCGCGCGCGGCGCACCAGGTCGAGGTGCGGTACTCGCGAGGGCCCGTGCTCGACATGGCGGCCGCGGTGGCCGACGAGGTGGCGGCCATCCACGCGTCGCAGCCGCCCGGCGACGTGCTTGCGTTCCTGCCGGAGAACGCCGACATCATCGGCGTCCACGCGAGGCTGCTCGGCCTGCCAGTGCCAGGGCTGGCCGTTCGCTACGTCCACGACAACCTCCCGGCGGAGCTCATCGACATCATGCTGATAAACTCGCCGGTGCCCGACGGCCGGAGGAGAGTCGTGCTGGCCACCGACGTGGCCGAGACGGCCGTGCTGGTCCACGGGATCACGTACGTCGTCGACACCGGCCTGGTGTCGGAACAGCCGCCGGTGAGGATCTCAAAGGAGGCGGCGGCCGCGCGGGCGGCGATCGCCGGATTCTCGGGGCCCGGCCGCTGCCACCGGCTCTACCAGCCGGAGGAGTACGATGATCTCGACGAGCACACCATCCCACACATCAGGCAAGATGGCGCGGCCGTCAGGTTCGCGCTCATGGTCAAGCGACATGCCGCTGACGGCATCCCGGGGTTTGAGATTTTTGACCCGGCATTGGAACCGGCAGTGCTGAAGAATGTCTTTGGTCAGCTTGTCAACGGTGGCTACTTGGACAAGCTTGGAAATCTGTCTGACAAGGGGGAGAGAGAAGCATATGACGAAGACTAGAATATGCAATGCGCCTCTTCCATGTGCAGTGATATTTGTAGCTAAACCGAAGTTAACTCTAGTGAAATTTGATGTAGACCAGTAGAAGGTTTCCAAATGATGCACATTGTATCTGGGGAAAACTTCTATGAATTGAAGAACATTTTTTTGTCAATCATTCATTCAGAAACTATGGTGTATCACTACATAACAAAAATTTCTAAGCTAAAGCTGTCCATTTATACATGACATGGAGAATCCATCTGAAAAGGTCCCAGGTCAGACTGTACGTGATGTTTTGGAAAGAGTTCCTTGCCAGGGGCAGCTCATCTTCAGTGTCACCTCCCTCTCCACAGAGCTTCAGGAACCTAACTATATGTGCTGTTCAGAGTTCATTGCCAAGGCCCAGTTCGTCTTCAATGTCGTCTCCCTCTTCGAAGAGTTTGAGGAATCGTAACTGATCCCGCTCCCTCTTCTTCTTCAGCCAGTACTTGTAGCCCCCAAATAATGCAATGATAACAAGGACAGAAGAAAGAACACTGACTATTATGATTACAGTAACGGATGACTTTTTAGTTTCCACTTCTGAGCTAGAATCATGGTTTGCAGAATCACCTGGTAGGGAAAAAGGTATCTTAAGCAATGTTTATGATGAACTCAAACCACCAAGATCATTACTAGTATTTTATGATTAATCAATTCTATAGAGGAAATTAAAATCAAAAGGGCATATGACAGAAAAGCAACTGTGGATCTAGCCAGCTCAATGAGTTTATGAATGAAAAATATCTTAGCAAACTAAAACATAGGCATTGGATATGAGCCGTACCCGCAGAGGCAGTGCAATTTGGGCATAGGAAAGTAGCATTGAACTGGCCCTCCTTGAAATGGGTGTATTTTCCTTTTTTGAAATCACTAGAACACAGCTCCCATTCATCATACAAATCATGTTTAAATGTATCCTCTTCGTACAAACCACACCTCTTGCATTTCTTTTCTGGAAGTTCTGTTAAGGGCTGCCAAAAGGAAACTAAGAAATGAAAACAGAAAAGTATAGTTGTGATGCGCATGAGACATGAGAGGAAGCAGCCCTTTTGGTTGACTAACCTGCCATGATTCTTCGCCCTTAAAGGTGTATATATTGTTTGCATCCTTCACGTCAGGCAAATACACCTTGTCCTCACCATTGCAAAGGAAATACACAGTTGGCTTACTCGGGAACCACTCATGAGTAGTAAATATATCAATGCTGTCAAGTGTGACGAGCCTCTGAGAAAAAATCCCTACAAAATTAAGCATCATCAGTGATGAACAAAGAGCTAGTGAGTGTAATAGAAGGCATCTATGGAGTTCAGCTACCCTCTCCAAGTATCAGAAAAGACAACGCAAAAAATAGCAGTTAAAAATGATACTACTATAAATATCCATGACTTTCAGTTTTACCCATCTCCATCTCGTCAGAGATAAGAGACATTAAGGATTATTAAGCCTTTACGGCTTTGAAATGGGCACTTTACCAGTTTACCTTCCATATAGTCCCCAACCCCACAAAAAGAATAACGTATTTCAAACTCGTGTCACACTGGGATCTATTTTAACAAAGGAGAAGTATCGGTTGGCTTTTCTTTCTTTGAGGCTATCCGTCAATGACATAAAACATGGGCATGCAATATATAATTTACTAACTGGAATTGATAAAATCATCAATGACTTGAGGTGCGGAGCATTCAATCTATTGCTCTAATAACCAAACCAGACAATGTTTTACAGAGGGAGAGCACGGTTCTGTTTTGGAACATAGGCAGTAGCCAGCCTTATTTTAAGAAAACAACAAAGCAGGATAAACACAGTACCGATCATTATCTAGGTTCTAGAGAAATAGGCCATATCGTTACATTTTAACTAAACATTTACCTAGCATCGCTGGTTGAGTCCCCTGGACTCATCACAGCAAGTCTGTTTGAATATAACTTGTGAAATGCAGCATATTATATATGCAGAAATCAATTTATAGTGTTATGCCCTACTCCTCAAATCGGGAATCGGGTTCCTCTCACGTGACCCTAGAAATTAGTACACAAATCATTTTCCGTGTAATAATATTAGGTGAGGGATCCAAAATTTGCCCATCCTTTATTAGGACAATATGGCAGGAACAAGAGTAGGAAAGACAATCTGTCCTCCGCTATTATTTGTCAAAGAACATCCCAACACTTAAACTACCTTATGAAGTCTGAGAAAAAAAATTCCTTCAGCTGAACCAATAAATACGCCATAAAACAGACTGTCCAGAGTTCGGCATTGCTTGATTCAACTCGGACCAGGAGAGAGATGTCTGCATCACAGGCATATAACTAAAGACCTTCCCTCTTGTCCATATCTCCTTTTTTTTTGGAAATATTTAATCAGGAATGTGTACTACTCTGGCTAAGTTTTCCTTTCCAAACATACCTTATATGCTATTCAAATTGCTGATCCTATTTGCTATTAAAATCAATGCGGTGCTATGACCAATCTGATTAAATTCAATTGCTTTGCACACAGGGCTCCATAAATCATCATTTCTACTTTCCCTTCCGGCAACGCCGATTGAACTTGAGAGGCCAATCACATCCAATACCTTACCTTGCAGCCAATTTTCTGGCCATCTACAAATCCATTGCAATTACACAAACTTAAAAAAATTGCTAGCACTTCCCATCGAAGCAATAGAAAAAACACATGCGATTAATACGGTCAAGTTGTCCGCGCGATCAAATTAGCAACATAAAAAAATGGTAAACAGACCCGCCTTAGGTGAGGCGAGAGCTCAGATCTCACCAGGGATCGAGCAGAGGGCGACGAACAGCACGACGACCGGGAGGAGCCGGCGGCCAGGCGAGATGGGCCGCGGCCACCTCATGCTCCAGCCGCGGCGACCGCTGCAGGCTCTCGGCCCCCTAGCGTCGCGTGGCCGCGCAGACGGGTTTCCTCGCTCTTCTCCTCCTCCTCCTCCTCCTTCGCCGCCGTCGTCGTCTCGTCGTCCACCCGATGGAGAGAGAGAAAGAGAAAGGACTGGTTCCTTCTTGCGCGAACCCGATGCTTGACAAACCAGAGCCACGTGCGAAAGGCGTAACCTAATATTTCCCGTGTTCTCTTCTACGAAAACGTATTTCTTATATCGATTAAACGCAAATACTACTACATGGGCTGATGGGCCGTGTCTCAAGGATAGTATAGCCCAATAACTCTAGACAGCCCAAGAAGGCCCATGTACATAATGGGCCTAGCCCATTTAGGCCCATTTATAATTTGCTAGTTCGCTGCCAGCCACCGATCAGAAGCCCATCAGGGGTCCATTCGCGTCGTGTTGCTCCGTCGGTCGTGTGTCCCCCAAAGGCTCCAAGCTCCGTCGTTCCTCTCCTCCTCCGCCGCCGCCGCCGCCGAAGCCGACGAGCAGTAGCCGGTAGGCATGACGAGGCTCGCGGCAGCCGCGCTCCGGAGGGCCACCGCCGCATCTGGGATCCCCTCGTCCTCCTCGCGCTCGTCCGTGCTTGCTCCGTTCGCGCCTCGCCTCTTCTCCACCGAGGCGTCCGGAGAAACCCCCGCGGCGGGCGCCGCCGCCCAGGGGTCGCAGGACGAGCCTTTCTTCAAGCCTTCTGACGAAGGTAGGTCTCCCATCCTTGCGGAGCCGATTGCTTTTTTTTTCCCTGTGGTGATCTGTAATTAGGGGTTTGAGGTTTAAATGTTTATAATGTCTTTAGCCGCTTAGGATTTGGGGTCAGGAATGTAGATTGATGGATTAGATACAGTAAAATACCTCACTCTGATGTTGCACTAATGAGAAATTACATTCTTTTTATTCCATATTGGTGCGAATATCTCACATGACGAGTGTCAAACGTTTGGAAATGCGAACCACAGCTTCTAAAAGTTGTACTTTTGCACTATCATATTGCAATACGGTTTTTTTTCCCATTATATTAACAAGTGCATATAACCGCAACTTACATTGTCTTGTAACTCTGGAAACTTCATTTTTTACATTTGGCTTTACAGTATCACATCGTATATATCAGAAATAATGTTCTGTGGAAACAGGTGTGGCATATGGAAGGTTCTACAGTGTTATTCCTGGAGGCAGCCGTCTCCCTAAGAGCATGCTCAAAACTGATATTATCCACCACCTTGATAAATCTGAACTGTCACTGGACGATGTGAAGATTGATTATAACAGGGGATATTATCCAGTGGGCGCGTACGGTTCCTTTCCTATTTCCCATCTTTCCTTGTTTTTGTGTCAAATACTACATATATCCATTTATTTATGTACCTTTTTCACTTGATTTTGGACTGAATATGCATAAGCAGTTTATATTGCTGAGTAATATCATAATATTCCTATTATATTCTGTGATGCTAGGAGGTTCCAATCAACTAGAGCAGCTATGTTTTTAGCCTGTTAGAAATTAGGATTGTAATTGAAGTGTCAACATATTTTTTTCGATAATGATAAACATAGGTGCAGTGCACAACGTGGGTAACCAACAGCCACTTTTATTTCAACCAAATGAACTAAATACACAAAACAATAAAAAGTGCATTTTAGTTGATTTGTTGAATTAGAGTGGGTCAACGGGTACCCACAGAGGCACAGAGTAACCCGTGCCCATCCCTACTTTTGAAGTCTTTCTTGAGGCCTTATTTGTATTTGGTAAGCTTCAGTCCAGATTACCCTTTGTCATTGTCTATTCATAAAGTACTAAAGTCTAAAGTGAATGCTCATGTTTTGTTGGCCAGTACACTATGTATCAGGCTGCCAACACATTTCACTTTTTCTTGGGTGCTTGATACGCAGGAAATATAGTTACTTCTTGACTTTTTCGTCATTAGTTCATATTCTCCATTTTGCTAGGCAGGCTTTTTAAAAATGAATAGCTGATCTCTTCCCATAAAAATCTTTCCCTTAATGCTGTTGAAAAATAAATGTATGGAATGCACTCTCATTAACTGCACTGTGATTGTTACAGTGACAAGAGCATAGATTTACCGTTGAACATATGAGTAAGTGATTTTCTTCTGCCCACTTTGCGATGTGACTATTGACCTGAAACTTTTTTTCACTTGATCAGGTTGTTGAGGTTTTCTTCAGTGCCATTATTTAACACAGCAGTCAGGCAAACACGAGAAGGTCGTCAGTACAGGCTTGAGATGGTTAGGCTAAGCTTGTTTTTGTCACTTCTATCATTTGGTTATGGGCTTATGGCAAAACACCAATATATTTTTATACTATGATGTTACAGATCAGTCGTGAGGAGTTTGATCTGAAGCAGTCTTATGATGGAAAAGCTGTAAGTTGTTGTTTTGCCTTGTCCTCTGGGCAGGCCAGTAAAACTTGAATATATTGTGTTTTGGCAAGCAAGTGTAGTTTTATCTCTGTTCTTCCTAACTACTCCCTCCATCAAAAAATGTAAGACATAGGAGTATTTCTTTTGTCACCAAGACAAAGGAGGAATTAACTCCCCCCCCCTTTTCCCCTCATATAACAAAACCATGGAACTATATGCATGCATGCAACCAATAAGTATTTAAGATGGCTGCTTGGGTTCTTATCAACAATTAATTTAGCACAAGGCGACTACAAATATGACCATCTCTTTTGAATAAAGCAAAAACTGATACTATCTCCGTTTTTTAATAGATGACGCCGTTGACTTTTTCTCACATGTTTGACCATTCGTCTTATTCAAAAAATTTACGTAATTATAATTTATTTTGTTATGAGTTGTTTTATTACTCATAGTATTTTAAGTGTGATTTATATCTTATACATTTGCATAAAATTTTTGAATAAGGCGAATGGTCAAACATGTGAGAAAAAGTCAACGGCATCATCTATTAAAAAACGGAGGGAGTATATGCCTAACACTTTTGGATAGAGGGACTGAGGGAATACTATTGAGTGGGTGTCAAAAATCGGGAGGACATATCTTTATCTTATTTCCCCCCATTTACCAGCTATTCATTATCTTATAGTTACAATTCATATGCAATTATGGATATAATAATTTATCTGGAAATAATTGTAATCTGTGTCTGCGCCCATGCAGATACTATTGCAAGGAGTCCCTCGAAATGCTGTACCAGAGGACATAGAACGATTCCTGTGTGGCACCAATGTTGAACCTCCGCCATTTGAAAGCTTTCTCAGGTAAGCATTTGGACAGACATCCTTGTTTGCTACTCCCTCCGTTTCATATTATAAGACTTTTTAGCATTGTCCACATTCATAAATTCATTAACATCTATATGAATGTGGGCAATGTTAGAAAGTATTATAATATGAAACGGAGGAAGTAGCATTTAAATTTGTTCCATTCATCCTTGTTTGATTCCACCCATGTCTACTGCACAGACCTGGTGTCCCAGATCCTATCAGAGTGGTGCTGGTTAAATTCCGCTCAAGGACTGATGCCGCCAATGCTTTCATTACTAAGAACCGGGGTTTCTGCCTGAACAACCCTGTGAGCATGCGTGTTCTTCAATAGCCCGTCCATTTTTATCGTGCTTATGGCAATCAGCTCCAAAATGAACCCTCTCAGCCTTTGGATCTGAACTCCTATCTGCAAATGTGGTAGAAAGTTTGACTTTGTACGTTTGCACTCTACTGTCAGTCGCTTTTATGTTATTTTGTTTGTGCTTTTAGTTGTGCTACTTCATTTCTCTAATTTCATGTGTAAACTGGAAGTTGCTGTTGCCCCCAGTTTACAACAGAAACATCAGAAGGAATTATCCGTAATAAATGTTCAAAATTGCACATTTCTTTTCCATTGTTGGGATGCTTATGGTGGCGCATATCATGCATTCAAAATGCCTGCCTGAAACGCCTGGCTTGTTGCTGGGATGAAATATGTTGTAAAATTTTCCATTAACCACAAATAGTCTCCTTTTAGTTCCATTAAGTGTTAGCTGATATTTATCAGGCACTTTAATCCATAGTATGATGCAATATAGAAGTACTCTCTCCGTCCAAAATATAGCTACTTCTTATAGAGATTAAGGAAGACTGGGTTACCTTCGTTAATTATCCTGGTTGGTGGGAGGTTGGGGTTGTGAACATAGGGGTATTTTAGACATTTTATCACTAATTCACTATAAACATCTCTTGGTGCTCTAAGTAGCTATATTTTGGGACAAAATTTGAACGCTAGAAATATCTACTCCCTTCATCCCAGAATAAGTTAATCTAGTACAACATATGACATATTTTAGTAGTATGAATATGAACATTCATATACTAGGATATATCATATCTCATACTAGATTAACTTATTATGGGACGGAGGTAGTATATTTTAGGACTGATGGAGTAGTCCTATATGGTTGAGCGATATGATGGAATTGTTTGTTATGAACTTATACATCATTACACCATCAAAATCAGTGGCGAATCTAGAACAAAAATATAGGGGGTGCTCCTTTCTAATGAGTTTTAGGAAGTATGATGGAAGCTTGCATGTCATCTAAATAGTTCTAATTAATTTGAAAAAAATGACAACATGGATTGATATGAGATATATTACTCCGTAAATATATAACTTCTACAAGTTACAACAAAAATAACAAATTAAATTGAAAATAGTTATCGTATATTCACAATTATATATTTTTTTCGCAACTTGTAGAAGTTGAAATTTAACTTGCATGTTTGTGGAGTGATATATTTCATATTAATCATTTTTTTCAATTTTTTGATGATTATTTAGATGACATGCATAAAATGATGGGATATCCCCTCGAGGAATGAAAACGCTTTCCCATTATGAAAGACAATACGACAAAGGCACAACCACAAATTCAATAACACAATTGTTGATAATTGTTGGATTACTTTGTGAGTAAAAACCACTCACTTCACTAATCCCCTGATCGTTCCATCCATTGAAGTAGGCAGAAAAGAAAGCAAAAACTAATACAGTAGCTTAATAAGGAAGGTCCAGCAGCCAATTAGTCCACTTAATCACCCATGGATCGCGAAATGTTGTCTTCGTTTGCTCCTTCCTTGCGACCTGGTTGATCTGCACTTATGCAATACGCTGCTTCTCTCCCGAAGCCATGCGGCTGCTGCTCTGCATGCAGGGCAGGGGGTTCTGCCGAGATGGAGCTGAGGCTCAAGCCCCAACGGTGAATCCGCCCCTGATCAAAATGCCATTTTGTCTTAAATCACAAATGTGCACATCTGCCTGACGAGATAGTCCTACACGTCCTTGCTAACTGCACTACGTAGTGACATTTTATTGTGCTCATAGCAGGTTGGTCCTATCCTATGCGTGCATCCTTCACCAGTTGATCGATGTGAATATCGTCATATCTGCAGGGAAAATAACGTCAAGTTTGAGTAATTTGCAGATATTGTAATAAGCATTTCTTGGTTGCTGGTCAACCTTACGTCCTTACCCCGAGCTTCTTCTTTGTGAGAGCAATCACTTCGCTAGGATCCTGCTTGGTGTGCATATACGCATCGATCTTGTTCAATTCCTGTTAAGCATTATTTTCCGTGTCACAAGTAAATCATCAAAATCATCATTCATATGCTCTATCTTTGGTCTTCTTTTTTGTTCTCTTGCTGTCTGTTACCTTAATGAAAATCTGTATGTTAGCCCTTCCTTCAGTAATATCATAGTTCTTTATGCCAGCAAACAGTGTCTGAAATCCATCAATAAAAGGTGCATACGCAATGTCAACCTGTCCAAAAGATAAAGAAAAACATCAATACCATGTTTAACCAGCAATAACCAGTGGGTGAGGTTTTCAAATCATTTATGCAAATTACCAGACTAAATTGGCCAAGGAAGAATGGGCCATCATCAAATTTTGATAGGGAGAATTCTATGTTGTCTAGGGCAGCAGCTGATGATCAGGGATGCTTCGTAAGTCAGTCTCATATTTGAAAGAGAAAAAAATGTCAAAATTACAAGTGAATTATGGTTAGTGTTTTCAGTTCTTGCCAGCTTCTGCTGTCATAGCATCCTTGGAGATCAGAGCGGAACGCACAGCCTGATTGAAGATATCTGAATAAGCCAGGAGTTCTTCTGCAAGCCTTTGCTTTTCAGAATCCTAATGTCACCAGTAGAGGTATCAATCCTGTCAGGGCTTGTTATTACAGATTTGGAGTTAAGCAGTTTGATAGGCTTACATCAGGAGTCAATCTGGGGCCTGCAAAGTTGATGTCTATGTACTTGATCAAATCCAAACTCTCTCCAATGATTTTGTTGTTGTGCTCCAGGGATGGCAGCTGTCATGACAAGTATCAAGCATTAAGAAAACAAGTATTATCTACATTTTCATATAATATTTAAGACTAGCCACACCGTATTCTTGGGGTACACCTCCTTGTACCATGCTGGCCTATCATTCGTGTCCATGGGGACTAATTTGATCTTCTCCTGCAAACCCTGATGCCCAAAACAATCAAAATTCAAAACCACCGACGTACAATTTGCTAAAGAAGACAAGTGAATCAAGCTTGTTCAGAAGACCAGCTTGGTTTTGTAGTACCTTGTAGTTCCTTGCGATCCATGCCCGTTGCGCATATGGGCAAATGTTGACATGTACAATCTGCCATTGCAACTTTTTATACATTAGCAAGGTCGAGATGATTTGACAAATGCAGATCAAGGTGATTGTGGACGTTACAGATAGCATATTTTCTGAAAGATTTGAAAGGGAGAAGGTAATTTCAGATAAACAGTAATGATTGATCAACCTGGTTTCGCCATCGTAGAGAGGTGGCTGCTTAGAAGCAGATGGCATAGTAGGCGGGAGAACTTCCATTGCAAGCCTAAATCCAACAGAGACGATAAATCATACCGTGCAATTATGTGATTCAGATATAGTACGTATTATTCGTTGCAATAGAGTAAGGGTGTGTTTGAGAAGAAGGGGATTGAGGAGATTGGGAAGATACGCAAAACGAGGTGAGCTATTAGCTCATGATTAATTGAGTATTAACTATTTTAAATTTCAAAAATGGATTAATATGATTTTTTTAAAGCAACCCTATAGAAATTTTTTGCAAAAAACGCACCGTTTAGTAGTTTGGGAAACGTGCGTGCGGAAAACGAAACAAACAAACTCACTCTCTCACCCTCTCGAACGCTGCCTTAGGGCAAGTACTATGGCATCCAAGCATAATCTCCTAGATGCCACATAAGCTAAAATAGTGAGGTGGAGGAGAGAAGAGATGAGAGAGATAAAGCAGCCACCTCTCATGCAAGAGGCAACCACTACACAAAATTCAAGACAAAAGGAGAGAGGTGAAGAGTAGATTGGGCAAACAAACATTGGGGCTAGTGTATTAGAATTAGTATATATGTGATATATTGTACATGTTACCTCTACATTTATTAGCTGATGATGTGGTCAACATTAGATGCAACATCCACCTCTTTTATAAAACTTGTCCTAAGAAACTTTTCTTTGAAAAAAAAAGAGAGTAGAAACTGCATCGCACCTACTTGCTGCTACTGCTGCTGCCATTGCCATTGCGATTGCCGTACACAACTTGCAAAAATGAGCACTTTTTGTAGGTGAAACCGCTGCATCTGTCACACCGTGCTCTGGTAAACGAGAGTACAGGAGTAAGACGGGCGTTGAAAGGTAAAACGAGAAGAAAACTTGAGGCGTCAGCGGTGACGGCCGAAGCAAAAGAGGAGCGAGTGGTGATGGCTGGTGCCATGTCGCTCCTGGAACGTGTCACGTTACAAAGCGGTGATTAGTCGGCATCTTGCACACGGTTCTTCACGAGCTGGAGAAGAATACACAGGATGTGCCAGAGCGGTCAATTTTTTTTAGGAACGGGCAGGAGCTCTGCCATTTCGTTTATAGAAGAAGAGAGATACAAAGTTTCAACATACAAAGTTTCAGCATTTAAAGGGTGTCACAGAGAGGTGCCAAAAAAGAGAGAGCAGGGAGATACAAGTATTTTAAGAGAATACAAGGCAACTAAAATCATCATGCGTGGTATAGACATCTAACCAATTTTTGCTACTCCCTCCGTCCCATAATATAATAATTTAGAATCAGATGGGACACTTCATGGTACAAGGAATCTGAATAGTAAACATGTCCGGATTCGTTGTATTATGAAGTGTCTCGTCTGAAACTAGGTTGCTATATTATGGGATGGAGGGAGTACATCGTAGACTTCTTGTATGGTGATGACTGTCAAAAGAGTGATTAGTTTTTCAAGGCCACATGAAATGGACACTGGCATTTGTGTTCATTTCTCGAGTTTGGTTGACTACTCGTGCTCAGCCAACTCAGTGATCTTAACATGTATACAAAGGTATTCATGTAGTAGTGGAGTATTAAGCAAAGGATTACAAGGTAGTACTAACAAGAGCATGAGTAATATTTGCAGTTGCCGCTGTAAACTGAACACAAATAAATTACTCCGCCGGTTTTATACTACTTGAATGCTTTTGAATCGCCTAATACTGGTAAGTTAGTAACACCTGCAGCTCTGAACCAATAGGCCATGGTTGAACCACTAACTGTAACTGATCAACCATGGCATGTCCTCACACTTACGCCAATGCAATAATCTGCATAATCATGCTTCTACGAGGAAGATTAGCAAAGTGGAAAAGGACAGAGGGAGAGGGCTTCAGGATCGGCCTTCATTTCGTTGGCAAAAGCAGTAACGATTCAATCCATTCGGGGCTTCGGAGAAACAAAAAACGAACTCTGTTTTACTCTTTTTCATACGCAGTTCACTGCGCTTTCTCGCAGGAGACGTTTCTCAACGATCCATTCTGGAGGATTGTGAATTTATGATACGTGCTTATCACCAAGTTTCCTCACCCATCATTAGAACGTCCGGTTGACTTCTGCTTAGCATATTTGCAGAAGTACTTCACTATGAAAATCATCCTGACAACTAGTAATAATGATACAAGAAGCATTGATTTATTAGACAACGCCCCGCGAAGCTTGTAATTAATTATATGACGGGAAATTCACATTAACAGCTGTACACAGCCAAACCAAAAATACATAATAGTTTGTTCCATAAGCATGGTCTGCATGACATGCATTATCTTATTCAAGATAAACCATATGCTAAAATGAAGCACACTAGTCTTTATCTACTATATACTGCACCAGCTCCCTGTCTCCATCGCAGGTTGTTGTGGGTTCATCCTTGGTCACATCTTCAGGCAATCTGGAAGTTAAAATGTGCAAAAAATGTATAAATGTAGTATGTCGGCAGATGAAATGGATCATAAGAACAATTTTGCCGGGTCGGCGGAAGGAGATCATAAGAACAATTGTAAATATATCTTACCCCAAGACGCTTCTTTGTGTGTTCAAGCAAAAACTGTGGGTCCTGTTTGGTTTCTGTATAGGCATGAATCTTGTTCACTTCCTGTAACATATCAATTTGAGTTAGTTTCTCCTCAGCGAAGTTTTTTCTAACAAGAACATTGATTTGAACTACACCATGTGATCTTTGGCCACAGGAACTAGTATTCGAAACAACGTCAATAAAAATAGGGTAAACATAATCCCAACCAACTAACATATGGCGCAATCTCACATTCTCATGTACCATCATTCTGAATTACCTCGATGAATTTCTGAAGGTTGGGTCGGCCCTTGGTGATATCGTAGTTCTTTATACCAGAAAAGAATATCTGAAACCTTTCAATAAATGGAACATACGCAATGTCCACCTGGAAAGAAATAAGGAGTATCAAGCACATTTTTTTCAGCAAAAACAAAAAGCTTTCAAAAATAATTTTAAATGATAATCCAGGGAAAAACATTCCCAGACTATAGTGGCGTACCAAGCTGAACTGGCCAAGGAAGAATGGGCCATCGTTGAACTTTGACAGAGCAGCTTCTATTTTGTCAAGAGCAGCAACTGACGAAGAGTATTATATTAGCAGATTAGCACGTGGATACAAACTGCAGAATTTATGCATAAAAAATCGTTCAAATGAGTAATCAAGTAGTAGTACACGAGTGCTCTCACCAGCCTCATCGCACACATCTCCCTTGGCGACTATGGATGAGTACGATGCTTTGTTGAACGCATCAGTGTACGCAAGAAGCTCCTCAGCGAACTGCTGCTTCTCAGAATCCTGTCAAATTACACATTCAAAGGCTAACACATTATAAATTACTTCTCTTTTTGCAAGCATTACACCAGTGAAAGTTGAACATATCGTCTTACATCAGGGAGTAATGCTGGCCCTTCGAAATTGGTGTCAATGTACTTGACCAAATCCAAGCTTTCTCCTTTCACCTGATTGTTGTGCTCAAGTGAAGGTACCTATCAAAAAGTAAAAGTGCATACACAGACCCGGCAAAAAAAAGTAAGTGCACACCTATAGCAAATTAAGCTGTAAAGGATTTTTCTTTTTTATTGGAGCAGAGTTGAGACTTGACAGTAACAAGGTGTTAGGAAACGATAGGCGAACAAACGATAAATAATAATAGATCAATCATATAAGACACGAGATTTAACGTGGAAAACCCTTCCAAAACCGGACAGAAAAAACCACGGGCGCTAGCCAGCAAAATATCTTCATTATATCTGGGGTGAGATTACATCGCCGCACGGCGGCTTACAAGAGGTATATATATGGTGGAACCCTAAAAAGATGACGATCCGTCGGCTGAAGCTCGCTTTTATTAAGTGCAAATAAATTTGGATCACAACTCAACACCAGGGATACTCTATACCTTGTTCTCTGGGTAAACCTTCTCCTTGTACCAAGCAGGCCTGTCTGCAAGATCAATCGCGACAATCTTGATCTTATCCTGCAAACCCTGGAAACGAAAAGACAAACAAAAAAGATCCAATTTTATCGGAGAAACACCACCACAAAACTAGAGAAGTCTTCAATTCCCGATCTAAATGGAGGGTATGTGATCCAATCTCCCAAAACTACGAACCGAGTCCGCAAATCAAAGAACAGCATGTAATACCTTGTAGTTCCTGGCAATCCACGCGCGCTGCGCGTAAGGGCAGTGGTACGCAACGTACAACCTGCGCAAGGCAAACAAATCAAATTACCCCTAATCTATGCAGATTGCAGAAACCAGAAAAGTTCAGATAACTGCAATTCCTTTCGTTTTTTTTCTTTTTTAAACTTTTTTTTTTGTCTGCATAAACCCTACCTGGTGGTTCCATCGAAGAGGGGAGGGGGCTCCGATGAGGAGGTCAGGGAAGGGGGGAGCACTTCCTTCTCAGAGCTGCACATGAGTAAGAGAAGCAAAGAAATTCAGATTTTAATCAAGAACCGCAACAAGCGGTTTATTCTTCTCCTCAGCCTCGCCGCAGCCGGCACGCGTGCTCACCTTGCCGGTGCGGCGGCCGCGGCAGCCATGGCGACGGTGCGGGACGGGGAGAGATTCTTGGCGTCGCGGAGGTTGCACCGGGCGACGCTTCGCGAGCTCGGGCGAATCTTTATTGTGCGCGACGATGGGACGGAAGAACTACGGGAGGTGGAGGGGCGCGTCAGTGGTGACGGGGAGCATCGGCCGCGAGGGAAAGCGAGCGAATTCATGGGGAGAGAGAGTGTGAGGTGGTAATGGCGGAGGCGATACGTCAGCAGCTGATTCGGGCGCGGAAGGTCAGGTTCGTCAAGCCGCTCAGCACCTGGACGAGAACGTGGTGTGGGTGCACGCACATCCTCCCGTGTTCCTGTGCTTTCTTCCGGGATTTCTCCAGAAGGAAACCGGTGGTTTGTTGGGGTGGGACCGAGGGAGATGTTTTCGGGTTTTCCTCGGCCCAAATTATACAAAACCACAATATGTTCGTTTTGAAGTGGGTTAAGGAGACGGACATCCTCGATCCATTACGGAGGGAACTATCCTACCTCCTTGGCTCACTACATAGGGAATTGTTCTAGATAGGCCTGTTGAGACCCACCTAACTATTAATACCTCCATTTCAAAATATAAGAAATTTTCGATGAAGGTGACGCATCCTATTACAATGAATTTAGACATAAGCCTTCCAGATTTATTGTGATAGGATGTTTCATAGCCACCTAAAATTCCTTATATTTTAGGACGGACGAAGTAGTATGTTTTATTTCGATCCTAGTTTGAGTTCGTGTGCGCATCATACATGCATATAGGGGTGAAAATGGTTACGGAAATTCCAAACGCCGTTTTTGTATAAAGGGTACCATTTTCGACCATACCGTTTATTGCTATTTTAAAATTTTGTTTTTTCTAATATCTTTCTGCATCGTATTAATATCGACACTGAGTAGTTTAAATGATAAATATGATCAATTACCGGCTGATCGACCGTTGTTCCTGAAGAGATGCTACCGATTTCGACCGTTTTTACCCCTACGTACACACACACGAAAAGCTGCTCCCTTTGACACACTTAAAAGACGTACCATAACATCAAGCGTTCTGCATGGATTGATGGGTGCAAACCAAAAGTCCTCATGCCTCTTGTCTATGCGATCTCCAAGAACAAAGGAAAGTCCCTACGCCAAGTAAAAGAAGACGACACCTGGGTGCATGACCTGACCCTCGATGCAGACTCATATTTCACAATCAACCTTGTTGACCAGTTAGTCCGCTAGTGGGAAGCGGTTCGGAATGTGAACTTAAACAACGAAGAACCGGACCAGATTGTTTGGAAATTCATAAGTAATAGGCACTACACATCCTCCTCGGCCTACCATGCACAGTGCTTGCGGGCGCCAAACACAAGTCTCAACTCCTTGTTCTAGAAAATCTGGGCGCCGGGGAAATGCAAATTCCATGCATAGCTCATCATCCAGAATAGAGTTTGGACGTCTGACCGGCTTGCGAAAGGAGTTGACAAAACAACAGCCATTGCCCTCTCTGTCGTTGTAAAGCCGAGACGGCCTTGCATCTCGTCACCATGTGAGGATATACAAAGATAATCTGACACCTCGTTGCTAGATGGGTGGGATATCAACAATTGGTGCCGGCTCAGTGGGAGGAAGCTCGGTCAGTCCATCAATGGTGGGAGAGCCTAGCAAATACGCTCAACGTCCTAAAAAAGGGTCTTCGATCCCTCATCTTGTTAGTCGTCTGGGAAATCTGGAAGGTGAGAAATCGACGGATTTTCGACCACAAAGAGGTGGCAACAAGCTTTCTCCTAACAAAAATCAAAGAAGAGGCTAGCCTTTGGGCTTTAGCAGGGGCTAAAAGATTGCACGAGTTCGTCCCGCAACTTGTATAGTGTATAGCTTACGGTGACCTCTCTCTTTTTCGCTTTACCCTAGAGGTTGTATTTTCTTCTACTCTATTAAATGAAAAGGCACTTTTGTGCTATTTTCCGTTAAAAGGAAAGATAACGTCACGAAACATTCTATTAATAGCACAAACTCCTAACTTGTTGCTAAACGTTCTAGTGAAGGGTGTTATGTTTTCATATCATTCAAGTGTGCCAAATGGCTTCATAAAAAAATAAGACCAAGTCTATGTAATATTATAGGCACCAGAATCATCGTATGTATGGTCATATATACCAATGATTTCACCGAAACACTCACACTAATGGTGCTTTGAAAGGACTTATGATGTGACTCAACAATTCAAAAACCTTATTTCCCTTTTAAAAAACATATTTCTCTGTTTATATTATAATATGTTTTAACTTTTTAATCAGACAAACTTTCTTAGGTTTGACTATATTTATAGGAAAAAAAACATAACACTATCTACAACATTAAATTAGTTTCGTTAAATCTAACATTTACATAGTATTATATTTGTTTTGTGTTAAAAATATTACTACCCTATTCTACAAACTTTGTTAAGTTAGAGGTCTGCTTATAATAAGTCAAAACGTCTTATTAATATGAAACTGTAGGGATAATAAATACTAGTAAATAAGTTTGACAACAAAAGATTATTTTCAATGACATGAAAGTATATTTAAGACCAACGACATTGAGTAACATAGAATTACACCAGTATTTTATTACTCAAACATGACTTTTACACCACATGTCAACTTCGGTTTATTGGAAGCAAAAGCTGCAAAACATGTACTATCAACTGGAGTAGCAAGAAAAGAGTATTGATTTTTTGTGTGTGTGTGTGGGGGGGGGGGGGGGGGGGCGGGGCATGGATCATCATCATTCTGTCATTCAGTACATCGCTGGCTCAACATCTTCAGGCAACCTGGAAATTAAAGAAGTGCAATTGTCAAGTGACTATAAAACTGGCAGATCAAAGTTGCGGAGGCTGAGCATTTGTTTCAGGAAGTGGTCTTGCCTTAAGATGCGTCTTCGCAAGATCGAGCAAGTAAAGCGGGTCATTTTTTGTTTGTGTATATGCTTCGATTCTGTTGATTTCCTCGATGAATTTCTCGAGGTTGGGCCGGCCATTGGTGATCTCGTATTTCCTTATATGAGAGTAGTATATCTGAATCCTTTCAATAATTGTCACATACGCAATGTCCACCTGGAAATCGAAGAATGGCCACAAGTTTTTTAGGAGAAATTAAGGGTGTGCTCCGTAGGAGTTTCAACTTCTACTCTCTGTTTTTTTTTCCGCACACCTTCCGAGCCACTAAAGGATGCATTGTTTTTTCTTAAAAAAAATATGTCGAAAGTTACTTAAAAAATCAAAAATCATATTGATTCATTTTTCAAGTATTTTTAGCTAATACTCTCTCCGATTTTATTACTCTTGACATTTTGAACAATGTTTTATATACCTTTGACTATCAATAACTTTAAAGATATTTAGTTAAAGTCACTAGAGCAATAGATTTACCTACAAAGTACTATAATAAAAGTAAAATTTTATTTATTTAATTTACATATTATAATAAAAAACATAGTGAAAGATATATTTGGAGACCGTATAGTTGTCTAAAACATGAAGAATTATAGAACCGGAGGGAGTACTTAATTACTTATGCGCTAATGAATTACTCCGTTTTATGTACGCGGGAAAGAAGTTCCCAACCCTTACCTTCGACACATCCTAAACATTGGAAAGGAAAATGAACCACATTGTAACAAACCGAATCGACATACCAAGCTAAATTGTCCAAGGAAGAATGGACCATCACCGAACTTCGACAGGGCAGCTTCTATCTTGTCCAGAGCAGCAACTGATGATGATACATAATTTCAGTAAATCAGCATGTATGCAAATGAATTTTCTCGAACAGCATGCAAATGAATTAAAACTGCAAATCTCCTTATCTACAAACATGGCATAGATGCTGCAATGCTAGATTGACACAACTACTTCCTCCGTTCCACAGTATAAGTCATTCTAGTATTTTCCATATTCATATTGATGCTAATGAATTTAGATAGATATATATGTTTAGATTCATTAGCATCAATATGAATATGAGAAATGTTAGAATGACTTATATTGTGGAACGGAGGGAGTAGCTCTTACCCGTCTCAGCTGACAAATCTGCTTTGGAGATTAAGGGTGAGTAGAGTGCTTTGGTAAACGCATTGGCATACGCAATAAGCTCATCAGCAAACTGTCTCTTCTCAGGATCCTGTCATTTTCCAGATCCAAACATTATTATAAGCTGTAAACCACGTCTCAGAGAAAAAAAAACTGCATCATTGTCACTCCCAAAAAAAGAAAACTGCATCATTGTCACTCCCTAAAAAAACTGCATCACTGTCACGTGTTACACTGAATTTCTCTGCCTTACTTCAGGGAGCAGTGCAGGGCCTTCGAAATGGCTGTCGATGTACTTGATCAAATCTAAACTCTCCCCCATGATCTTGCCGTTGTGCTCTAGAGAAGGCACCTATCGAGAAAGACAACAACATCCATACTACTCAATTGTTCATCGACAAAAATTATACATGAAGAGATTCAGATGACATGCAGGAAGGAAGAACAGGTGTACTGTACCGTGCCCTGTTCGTAAACCTTCTCTTTGTACCAAGCTGGTTTGTCCTGCAGATCAATGCCGACTAGCTCGATCTTGTCCTGCAAGCCCTGGCCAAATTGACAGCCAAAAAAAAGTACAAAAAAAATTCAGGTTTTTAGCAGGAGGAGTAAAAGGAGTATGAAACTCTGCAGCCAAAGGTCAGAGAAGTTCAGAAACAAACACCTTGAAGTTCCTGATAATCCAAGCGCGCTGAGCAAACGGGCAGAAGTAGCAAATGTAAAGCCTTCACAAGAGTCACAAAAGAAGATTTACTTCGACGCAGAAGTTAAAAGAAAAAAAAAGGGATTTAGAGGCATGGTAATTAATTATCTGTCACGTAAGTTAACCTCACCTGGTGGTGCCGTCGAAGAGGCGAGGGGGCTCAGAGGCGGAGCCGAGCGCAGCGGGAAGCGCTTCTTTCCCGGAGCTGCATCACACGCGAAGCCGTAATTAATCACAGAGATCGTCATTAGGGTAAAAACTTTGCCATTTTCCGTAGCTAATCAGTAGTTGGTTCACAGCACTACTACTAATCAAATGATGGCTTACCTACGCGGTGCTGCAGCTGCGGCCATGGCGATGAGCTGGGAGAGGGAGGAGTGATCCAATTATGTGGCCTGTGAATGTGATATGCTGAGTGATTCGTGGTTGATCTGGGTGAGTATTTTTATACTTGCAGGAGATGGGAGACGAGTTGATTAGTTAACACATTGTGTTATTGGGTCGCAGTTGTTTGGACAAATGGTTTGGAAACGTCTGTGTCCGTGGCGGCGAGGGCACTTGGCAAACCAAGTTCATTAGCTCCAATCATTGACTGGACTAATGGTGTGTTGAGATGCGTAATGGCAGGGTGACACAACTGATTGGGTCATCTTTATGTTTTAAGTGGTAGGTTTTGTGGCTGAAGAATGTAACCTGCCTTTTGGCCCTTTTCTAATTTCTATAGCTTTTGTTTGGTGGTCTCCTGTGACATAACTGATTATGTCATCTTGAGTAGCTTAGTCACTGATAGCGTTATACTCCGTCCGTCCAAAATTATAGGACGCTCTTTTTTTTTAAGAGAATCAAATTCGGAATATTTTGACTAATAATCATACTAACTATATCTATACTAAGTATTATATATATTATATCACTAGATTTAAGTATTATGTACGTTATATTACTAGATTTATTGTGAAGTACTTTCATGTGATGCTAATTTTATATTTGTTGGGATCATATAATAGAATAAAATATTGGTTAAAATATGTTATTAAAGACCATGTAAAAAATATAGGCTTTATAATTTGGGACATAGTGAGTAGTGTTTTATGCGATCTAATTATAAACGAAAATTTCGCCAGGCAATTATATAAAAAAATGAGTAAGGATAGAATTCCTCCAGTAAAAAAATTATACAAATACATAAGAGATAAATCATCATTGTTAATATTTTTAGTAATAAAACAACTCACAACAGAATAAATAATAATTACATATTTTTAAGAAATAAGATAAACAGTTAAACATGCGTTAAAAATTAACGATGCCATCTTATTAAAAACTAGGTAGCATATCCGGGAAAATATGTGGTGGAAACCACATATGTAGTGGAAATTTGGAAACAACCATTGGATGGAAAAATTGACTTGTGAGATTCGTCCACATCATTACGAGTAAAAATCTCGCAATATATCCGTGAGCAACATTTTTACTCGTGATGACATGGACGAATCTCGGATGTCCATTTTTCAATCCATCGGTAGTTTCCGAGTTTCCACTACGGCTATGTTCGACTGCCATTATTTTCACTGTGCTGCAGCCAACTAGCACAGTGTGTTGTTTCTTTCGGCTGTGGCAGCGCAGCGGCTGTACCAAGCGGCCGAACAGGCCCTACATAAGTACATATGTGATTTCCACCACATATTTTCCCAGCATATCCATATACCATACGATTTAGATAGCATGCTTGTGCTACCAGGTTTTATGCCTTATCTCACAACAACAGTGTTGTGATTTTTTAAGAAAAAAATATATTTATTTTTTAAAAGAATAAAAAATACAATTACAATTTCAAAGTTTTGCAAAAATCTCCTCCCGCTCTACCTTAGGGAGGGGCATAGAGCAATCTATGTAACACGACAATTTTGTAGGTGCCCCCCTCCCGATGATTTATCTCCCTATGTAACATCTCCCATAGGGCAATTTATTGTGGGGGTGGCTGCAAAATTGCCACGACGCAAAGTTTGATGATGCATGGGTCGTGCCATGACAATTTTGATAAATCGTCCTAGGGGAGAGCGGTTTATCACAGAGGAGGCCACCTAAAAACTTGGCACGACGCATCTCTCGTGGTGTGTCACGTCAAATAAATTGCCATCTCATAGGGCAATTTACATGCCATGTCCTACAATATCGTCGGAGGAATATATTTCTGCAAAATTTTAAAATACGAATTTATTTTCTACTAAATATTAAAAAATTAAAATAAAAAATTCCAAAAATGCAATTTCTCCTATATAAGGAGCATTATGGCCCATCTACAATGGCCCAAGGGCCCATTTGGTAGCACATATGCGAAGTGCAGGTGTCGAAACGGGGGAACGCAAGCGGACAAAGCAAAAAACACAGAAAAAAAATCGCGGAAAAGGAGAAAGAAACCAGGCGACTCTCGGCCGCACTCCGCCCACTGCGAGTCTGCGACGGTGCGACCTCTCTACCTCTCTCTCTAGTCTCTCCCCCCGACGAGAGCTCCCCCCTCGATGGCGTCGCAGAGCACCAAGCCCGCGCAGGCCGCCGCCGAGCCGTCCCCGCCGGCGGCCACCGCAGCAGCGGGGGAGGCGCCGCCGGCTCCGAACCCCGCGTCGGCCGCCACGCCAGCCCAAAACCCTACCGCTGCCGCGGGGGCGGCCGCTGGCGGGGCCACGGATCTGGAGAAGAAGATGCGCCGCGCTGAGCGGTTCGGGACGGCCGTGGTGATGTCCGAGGAGGAGAAGCGCAGCAGCCGCGCCGAGAGGTGATTGCTCTGTCCAGTCCCTTCTTTTCTAGGGTTTAGATTTTTTTTTTTGGCCTAACAGATCCTGGAGATTTCGTGGTCATGGTGAGGGTGAATATGGGATAATTAATCGTCTTTTGAAATGATGGATTCAGAAAAAGACCTTGGTAATATTGAGCCATGAACAGATGTGTTTAGTATTGTTAGAAAACAATATATAGGATGCATGCAGGATTTAACTGTGCACCAATGTTGCAGTTTTTAGTTACTCTATCATTTATACATGGATTTTGAGGAGATTTTCCCGTGGTAGAAAATAGTACTTTGTTGTTTGCTACCAGACGGCTAGGAGCCTTTAAAAAGGCGAATACGATGTATTCCTTTCAGTCTCTTTTAACAAGGTTTCCCTGCTTAAGAGAAGGGTGCTCGTGTTTCTCCCTTGGCAATATCCTGTGAGGTTTATGCAATTGCTTGCTAATTTAGTCTCTATGCGCTGCATCACCTAGGTCCTAGCGCAAACCATAGTTCATTTGTCTAGGATATTATTGGTTTAGGCGTTTAGCACTAAATGTCCTGTTTCATACTGCTTCTGTAATACAGTAGTGGTCCTAGTTTTGGGTATTCAGTTTGAGTTTTGGCTATCAACCTTTATTTCATTGGACTAACTACCAAATCCCATGAACCATTGGCAACATAGTTATTTTATCTATATTCAGTCACTAAGAATACAGGTGGGAGATGCTTAACAAAGCTTTTACCCAATGGTGTGTTCAATGCATGTCTGAAATCTAGCTGCCACAGTTTGAAAATTAAATATCTGTTTTTGGGTTAATAGTATTCTTGTGAAAATATGTTCCAGTTCAAATTGTTTAGATGAAGTGCAGTTAGTTACAACAAGGAAAACAATAAACTTGCATCATGGTTTAACTTACAAGAAAAGTGCATTCTCTTATAGGAAGGTTCTTAGGCTACCCTTATTGACTAGCTTTCAATCACTATGAAATCCAACACTGGCCACCATGATATCTTCTCTGAGATGGAGCAGATTAGAGGAGAAAAATTCTCTGGCATGGACTAAAGTTTGATGGTTGACACTTGCTTGAGGAACATAGATTGAAGCATACAGAGGGCACAGGCAAGCCACATCCAAATTAAGCCGTTGTACGGATGAATGCTGAATGCTCTTAAGGCATTCATGCTTTTAATTAATTACTGTGATTTATACTATTTTACACCATGTTTAAGAAGTTTCTTGGTTCCTTTTACAGACTTATATTGAATCCAATAAAAGGCCGTTAACTACACCCTATTCTTTTATGATAGTATTTCTTGCTCTTAATGAAGAGGGTGTTTTGAATACAAAAGCTATGGTTTTTTTCCTTTAGAATTAAACCATCTGTTTGCTTTATCATGATTCATCAAAAGCTTTTGAGAGAATTCAGCTACTTTAGATGTTATTCGGATGGAAATAATGGTACCTTTGGTTGATATCAGAGCTCATTTACTAGACTGTCATTCAATCATGTGTATTAGTACTGGTTTAAAAAAGTAAATCCTGCTTTCAATCTAGTTGGTGCTGGATTTAAATTTGACTGGAACTAAATGAAGTGTCTCCTTTGTTAAACTAATTTTCTGCCTCTCCTAGCTTTGCATCAGATATGTTGCCCAAACAACTTATTTCAGTTACTAACTCTCATCTTGTTTACAAGGTTTGGGACTGGATCTTCAAATGAAAAGGCGGAGGAACAAAAGAGGAAGTCCAGGGCTGAGAGGTGTGTTAATACCACTATTTGCACTCTGCTATTGTAGATTTTTCTTATTCCCCGTAATGGCGAACTGATACATAGTTGGATGAATTGTCACTTTGTCAGATTTGGCCTTGCCTCATCTTCTGCTGACGAAGACGCTAAGAAAAAAGCTCGTTTAGAACGATTTGGTCAGAGTACAAATGTTGACAAGGGGGAAGAAGAGAAAAGAAAGGCACGAGCTCTTAGGTACGAATGTGGCAGTGCTATATCATTCTTGCTAATAGAATCTTAACCTAGCTATCAGCTATAGCTGACATCTCTTCACTACTTTCCCAGGTTTGCAGAAACATCTAGTGGACCATCTCAAGAAAATGGCAAAGACAGCTCCAAGCCGGTAAGTTTATCATGGTATTGTGTGTAACTTTTGCTTCTTTTGTGTGTTTTTGTATCCGACCCATATGTGTGTTGCAAGACGCAGGACGCGGCCACTGTGGCAGGCACGGCATAATGGAAGCACTCCCTGCCTTTTGTGAGGTTATATATTGCTGCTATCATCCTACAATATTTCCCATTGCCAAGGGCTTGTTGCTTGACATGCAAAGTATCACTCCATTCTTGCAGATCTCGGACATGGCCCTTACTTTTGGGGTGAAGCCGTAGTTTGTACAACACTAACGACATCAGTGGCATCATGTTTTCTCCTAGCCATGTTGAGTGCTATTTACTGTGTTGACTTGCTTACGGTACTTCCCTAGCAGTGTAGCTTGACTTGCTGCTTGGTTTGGGATAATACTGTACTTTTGTTACCTCCCTCTTTTAATGACCATGGCTCCTTAGGTATGTACCAGTAGTAACTTATGTTGTTGTAGTTAGCTTTTAAGACGTTATCGTATTCTAAGTTTTAGATGCTTCCTTCGTGTTACAAAATGACATACGCAACAATGCCAATGTCTTGGCAGCGGGGCATGTGAATATCTGATGATGCATTTCGTTAGTGCATACATGGTCCACGATCTCCCTACTAAAAGCTTGTGGCTCCCATCGTTTCGCTTCTTCAACCGCTTTTAAGCCAAAATTTAAATTTTAAAACTAATTTTAGAGTTGATTTTATAAACTTTTTTATTGTAGTTTATTTTATAGCCTTTTCTTTTAAATCGTTATGGACATATATACAGAAGTTTTACCTATAAACCGCCTTTTTCTTCTAAAGAGCCAACCGATGGATATCCTGGAAATTTGCAATGGATAGTAAAAATCCATGAAATGCTTTCCTTTCAACAGACGTATCAGACCATCATATATAACATTGACAGATGGAGAACAAATTGTACACAACTGAATTATCTCAGTTTGTCTCCCGTGTATGTAACACAGCCACGGGAGCAAAATCTTATTCCAATTTCTCTACAAATACTCTACTACACTATCACTGTCAAGAACTCTAGTAGTATCGTGGCAAATACTAGCAAGAGCCGCTGCTCAAAACTGACGAGGTGCAGCGCTCTCAACAGTGGCCGCAAAGCTCCTGGTGGGCGACGAGCTCCGACCTCCTCTCGATCGTGTACCGCAGCTGCTCCTTCACCTGCCGCAGCGCGAGGAGCACGGACTGCACGTCGTTGCGCGGCCTCGCCGTCGCCGCAGGCTCCGCCTTGGGCTCGGGTTGCGGGTCCACGAGCACGATCGCGAGCTCATTCGCCTCCTCCATTTCGCCGTCTCCCTCTCTGGGCTCGGCCTGAGCCTTCCGTGCTTGGATATCGATACGCATATCGTCTTCGTTGCCTGTTTCTGCATTCGGCTGCGGGTCTACCAGCACCAGCGCTAGCCTGTCGTCGTCCTCGTCGCGTTGGTTATCTTGGGATTTTGATGAGCCGAAGTCGGATGGCACATGAACAGGTTCATCATCCCTGCTACATGGGAGCGTTCCATGTGTTCTGCATCAGTAATACAGGTTGTTAAATTGTTAAGTACAAAGTTAGCATTTGACATTTTCCAAGGAATTAAAAAATAGTCAAATTTGAAGGATCAAGTTGCCGTTTAAGCAAGCGCAACTGCTCTATTTTTAACACCGGAGTCAATTGTGCACATGTTTATGCTATAATTGGTGGCAGCTACACGTAGTCAGTTCTTCGTACAGTTGAGTTACTAACATTCACCAAAGTGAAAAATTTCAGGTGGGCTTGGTCCAATTTGTGTGGCGTACAACACCGACAATCCGTCCATCTCCTTGCTATCCTAAACACAATCATTCTGCTTGTGGAGACACAAAGGGTACAGGTTGTTTCCTCAATACCTAACAATAATCGTGAAATATGCCTGTGGAGCTAGCCGCCATGAACCGAAAAACAAAACGTAGGAGGAGGGAATTTATGTCCTAGTTCTGGCGAGACATAAGGCAACATAGAAACCTAAAATGCAGAAATACCTATGCGAGATTGTTTAGTTCCTACCGAAATTACGGTAATCCTAGAAACATTAAGCAGGTTATTTAACTTTTGACCAATAATAAAACACCTCTTGTTAATCCGCATGCTTACCTCTCTGAGTCATGGTCACCAGCCTCCTCCCCAGAGCCGCAGTTCTTAGCATCTTCAGGGTCCAAGCCATTCTCCTCCTCCTCCTTGCAATGAACAGATGGTGATTGCTCGGACACAACAGAGCACCAGCTCCCTTCCTGGGAGGAGTTCACCTGAGTGCATGAACCAGCCGAGGAGCCAGGATTGTTCACGTCCGCCTCCGTCTCCGGCGCGCGGTGACCGGAGCAGCTATTGGAGGAGAGTGACCCGATGGAGCTGTCCGAGAGCTCCACATCCAAAATCTTGAGGGACTCCAGCTTCTTTATGGCCCTCCTGAGCCTCCTCTCCGCCTTGTTCCTGATCTTGACCTCGTCGGAGAGCTTCTTCTCCAGCTCATCCAGCTGCGACCAAATCATAACCAACCACCAAAAAAAGCTCAAGAACAGTATCACACACTTCCTATCAAGGAGGTTGTAACAGTAGGGAATGTGGCTAAGAGAAGATACCCTTTTGGCGAGTGAATCAGCCTCCTCCTTGGCAGCCTTGGATGCTACCCTCTCTGCAAGCAGCCTCCCTCTCAGGCACTCCACTGTCCTCATGCCACCGCCACCGCCGTCCTCGCTGCGCTCACCTCCCCTGCAATCAATGAGACGCAACGCAAATGCAGATGATGTCAAGGAACCGATCCTAGGATCCCATAAATCCATCAACAGAAAATCCAAGAACTGATCCTAGCTAGAAGAAGGCATCCAAGAAAAAACCCAAGAAGCAAAATTGTAGCAAACCTGCATTGCATGGCTGTGGCAGCCATTTCTCCTAGCTTAGCTTCCCTTCTCTCGTCGACGTTTCTGGTGGTAGTAGTAGTATCCAAGGGACCAAGATTTGGGGTCAGGGATGGGCGTACGATATGTGACGGCTGTGGCTGCTTCTGCCGCTGCATGCGCCTCTGCTTTTGGGCTTGGGGTGCAGACGGTTGCTGAATTGGAGGGAGGTAGTAGGAGTGGAGGCTTGAAGCCGAAGGCGTCCGTCTGATGTCTGATGGCTGAGGCGTGAGGTGAGGCGCCTCATCACGGTAAGGGGACGTGTACTGAACCTACTGATTTGATGACCACAGTAACCGGCTCTGTCCGTGACCGCCACCCGTGAGGTGCATAACTGGTGTCCCTAGAAACCTCCTTTTTTTACACCTCCCTACATTCTTCAATGACCGCACTTTCTTGCATTTGTCTTGATTTTTTTTTACAGTCACATAATCTGCACGCAAACATTAGTTTCCTGCAAAAGAGAGATGGTATGAGGTCTTGAGATGGATGCACTGGAGCAGAAGGGAGAAGTAACATGCTAGAGATTGTGTTGAGGAGCTTAAGAAAAGTTTGCATCAGCCAACTGCCAACAAGACTTGTCAATTGTATACTGTACACAAGCTCAAACCTAACCTAACTTGCAAAGTACAGATAAGCGTGGTAATGATACTACTAAACTAGTATAATTAACAAAGAGATGGTCGCAGGGGACATGTGGGGTCATTACCTTGGGGGTTGCATAACTGCAGTGTAAGAGGGAGCGAAGCGAAGGGGAGGGCAGAAAGAAGGCCACGTGAAAGGCCGCTCTGCAATGTTCATTTAACCCGCTCGTTGTTTTGCCCCATCTTCTCAGGCCTTGGTGTCCTCTTGCCGGGTTTTCTTTTCCTCGTGGTTTTTAGCAGCATCTGAAATTCTGGGAAGCCACCGACTTCTGTATTTTCTAGAGAAAAAAGAAGAGGAGGACGGCTACACTGCGGTAGTACAAAGACAAAAACGCCTCGAGTGTCCCTGTCGCGGCGCCTCAGTCACGAGCGGCCTATGGGTGTTCTTCTGCATTTGAAATGATTTGAGTAGGGTTACCCATCAGATTAGCGACAGGACAAAAGTATTAACAATGACATTTGAGCTGTCCTCTCCTGCATGCGGCTGTTAAAAATAATAGCCTGAACTCTGAAAACAATATATACAGAATTTGGTGGAAATTAGTGTAAACTACTACCTCCATCCTATTTTAAATGCATTTGTGAGTTTTCGCGTTCAACATTTGACCGTACGTCTTATTAGAAAAAATTATATTTTTTTAAAAAAGTAACAAGTCACACATAAAATACTATCTAATAACAACAAAAATATTAATCATAAAAATATTTCAACTAAGATAGATAGTTAAATGTTAGACATGAAAATTCACAACTATATTTATATATTTAAAATAAAAATTCACAACTATATTTATATATTTAAAATGGAACGGAAGGAATATTTAGGCTGAGCTGAACTGATCTGCCACGTTGAATGTCGAGGAATTCGCTGGTGCTTGGTGAGATTGGAAGTTAGCACTGCACCCAACATCATGTGAGGGATGAGTGGTGATCTGCGAGTGTACTTTTGATTCTCCTGCTGATTCTATTGGCGCAACAATTCCTTGCCCACGAGCTTAACAGTCTATGAAATTATACACCAACAATTTGGCTGGAGGTAGTAGAGTGGTACGTAGTAGACAGATAGCTGCGGCTTTTTCATGCTATAAGCTCAGTACGGTGCACAGTGTTTCCTAGGCATCTGAGGCTTCGGATTCTGGAGCGATGATACTGCAGGCCGCAGGATCTTCGACCACCATAGCTACACAAAGAGCTTTCCGGGTCAAAAATTATGCTTTGAAAAAAGCAGGCAGTTAAAGTATCAAAGCGATGGAAGCGGAACAATAAAAAGAACTTGCCTGCCCCAAGAATTTCCAACCAGATTCCACTGGAAATGCTATGTAACTAGTAACTGCTAGGTACACTACTGTACTATTCTTCTTCTACTGCTGGTCCAGGTCTTTTCTTTTCTTTTTTTTTTTTTTGCCCGGCATCATTACGACGACCCTACTACGCAACGGTGACTATCATTCCTGATCTAAGAGTGGAGCCTTTGCAACAGGCCGATGAACGATGATGATGACGCTTCTTCAGCAAGTGAATGCAGGGACACATAGGACATAGCCCATGCCACGCTCACCGGCTCACCGCTCAGCCAATGCACAAAGGACTGAAGGACACGGCCTATTTTGTCTCCCACCGCTGGTCATTACCGTGACCTGGGAGGCTTGGGAGGTGTATCACGTGCACAGAGATATAACATATATAATACCACCGAAACTATTCAAAACATTTTGAAATTCTGGATTAGATCAAGGCACAGAAATGGACAACCGCGCAACAATGTAGATACAAACAGTGAAGGTAAAGCCAAAAGAAAATTAAAGAGGAAACAGTTCCACCTGATTTGTCTTGCTGCTTGCTTTGTGGTACAACTTGTCATGGCTCAAGTGCTCAACGCCTATGCATGATGTGATCCCAATTATGGAGCGCTCCACCTGTATACGTTCAAATGCGAATGAATAGATGTACACTATGATTAAAGAGGTGTGGTGATTATACTCACTTAGCTTCACTTGAACTCCAAGGCTCCACCCGGCAAAAAACTCCAAGGCTCCAGGATGAGCTGGAGCTCACATTGGAATTCACATCAATGTTGCCACTAGTAATACTATCCCCTGCTTCATTTGGTCGGTCAGTGCATGTGGAGATCGCTGCAACCTTCAGCCTGTGAAGTTTTAGCATGTGAGTGCTGGCACAGAACGAAATAAGAGTCGTGGCTTTCTGGTAGTAAGATCAGAGCAAGTTGGGCACAGTCCGGAGAGCTGCTTGTGTGCTTTTCCTTTTTGGAGTTCATGACCTGGGAAGTGAAGAGGTAGAATGATCCAAGCATGTGAACCGTGATCCACAAGCACGAGGGTACTAAAAGACAGATCTTGTTGTGCTAGCTCTATGCAGTTGTAATTCTAATGCAGGATAGGATTGGGCACATGCATGCAAAGCAGACAAGGATTTGGTTTGGACGGAGAAAAAAATGTTGAAAAAAAATCACAGGTTCAATCCCATTAACCACAGATTCCAGTTTCAAAATGCAAAAAAGCATGGTGGGCTAAAGAAATGATCCAGTAGTGATTTTCATGAGATAAAAACACTGAAGCTAGAACAACTACTTTTGATGAACTGAACTAACTTTTGTATGCTGCTCTTTTGGTGTTTCATCAAACACTGAGATTTAACTTGTGGAGGCACTTCCTGAAAATTCAAATCAGAATGCAACTGCTTTCATCATTTTTGTAATCATTGACTTTCCTGTTGCTGTAGTAACTGTTGGCCTTATTAAAAATTAGAGCTCAAGATCATACACTTCGAAAGGTTTGAAGATTGTGGTAGCAAAGCTCTTATTGTTTCCAGTTCTCATTTTCCTTTGTCATCCTAGGGTTTGATAATTGGTCAGATCAATATAATTGACCACATAATGGCGTATGGAATCCGATGGTCCAAATAATTCCAAAATGCCGATGTGCTTTCAGGCATGATAATCACATTTCAACTTTTAGCTCTATTGAATGCTATCGACATAACTTGTCTTCATCCAACTCTTAGGTTGATGTCAAGATCTTTTCTATCATTCAACCCATTTAACCCCTCAACAACCAAATCAATGTGTGTAGCTTTCGGCTTTAAGGCAAACACAGGAATAAAACTTGCAAGCGATTGTTCTCCCTCAATTCCAAGTACACCCAGGAACCTTCTCCAATCCAACTCCCCACAGCATGCTCCTTATGGTTTCAGCTTCTTCCCATTTGCCAGCATTTGAGTATAAATTAGCCATAACAATGTAATTACCCGTATTCTTAGGTTCAATGACAAACAAGCGATCAAATGCATAACGCCCGAACTCAACGTCACCAACTACTGCTGCTCCATTAAGCAATGCACCCCAGACCTTTGCATTTGGCTCAAAAGGCATCTTGTTGACGAGCTTAACTGCTTCCTTGAGCATCCCTGCACGACTGAGTGCAGAAACCATGCAAGCATACTGCTCAATCACTGGAGAGATACCAAAAACAGCCTGCATTGAGTTAAAAACCTTACGAGCTTCAGCTACCTTGCCAGAATGGGCACACGCACTAAGCACAGTGGTGAAAGTTACAGTGTCTGGCTTCGCACCAGCAGTAATCATCTGATTGAACAGGCTCAATGCTTCAACTGCTTCTCCATGAGCTGCGACAGCCGATATGATTGATGTCCAAACAATTGTGCTTCTATGTTCAGTCAGTTTAAACACCTTCCTGGCTGTATCAAGAAATCCAGCCTTTGCATACGCATCAATCAATGCACTGACCAATCTGATGCTCTGATCATAGTCATTTCTGATCGCATAACCATGAGCTTGCTTTGCTCCCAGTAGTGTTGAGAAAGAAGGAACTGAAGGCATGACGATTGAAAGTGTGGCTGAATTGGGTAGTACTTTAGAGGCAATCATTTCTTGCAACAACCGAAGAACATCTGACTGGCGCCCATTTTGAACTAAGCCCGCAATCACTGAATTCCACATGCTGATGCCCCGAGCACTTGCTTGCCGGAAAAGCTGCATTCCCTCTTCAACATGCCCGTTATTCATGTACCCTGTGATCATTGCACTGTAACTGATTGAATCCTTCCTAGTCATTCCATCCAACAACTGTCGTGCATATTGTAACCTCCCACATTTGGCATAAAACCCAATTATTGAGTTCCATACTGCCATGTCCATGTCCAGCCCACTCTCCGCAGCAAATCGGTGAACACCAATCCCGAAATCAACAACCTTGAGCTGCGCGCAAGCATGCAGAACACTTGTCACCGTGACACCGTTCGGCCCAACACCATCACCATCACTGCAACGAACCCGCACGAACTCCTGGAACAGATCCAAGCACTCTCTATACCAGCCTGCACGGGCACACGCGGATATAAGCGAGTTCCAGGACACGACGTCCCTTCTCGGCATTTCATCGAACACAGCGCGAGCGGAGCGCATGTCCCCGGCGTTCGCATATGCGGTGATGAGCGCATTGGACACGAACAGGTCTGACCCGAAGCCCCGCAGGAACGCGACGGCGTGGAGCTCCCCGGTGACGAGTGGGGAGAGCGCCGGGCCGGACGCGGCGAGGGACCTGAGGAGCGTGGAGAGGGTGATCTCGTCGGGGGAGACGGCGGAGGAGGCGAACAGGCGGACGGCCGCGGAAGGGTCCGGCGAGTGGAGGGAGAGCGAGATGAGGATGGCGTTCCAGGCGAAGAGGCTGGGCTGCGGGATAGAGTCGAACACCCTGCGGGCGTCGCGCAGGCGGTCGGCGCGGGAGTAGAGGGAGATGAGCTTGGAGGCGAGGAAGTTGGAGGGCGTCACGGAGGCGGCGACGAGGCGCGCGTGGATCTGCCGGGCAGCGGCGAGGTGGCCGGATTCCGCGCAGAGCTGGATGAGGTGACCGTACGCCCTAGGATCCGGCGGCACGGCGGTGAGCCACGCCGGCAGCTTCATCCGCTGCTCGTGAAATGCTCAGCTCCGATCACCCGCCGGCGCGGGCATGAGAGTTTTGGGCTTTTGGCTGTGACCCCTACTAGTTCAGGGCCTCGCGTGATCTAGACCGTTGAGATCAGATCAAACGGCCACGAGGCCCACGAGAGCAAGTGGCACATATGACGGCAATAGCTGTTTTCTTCACCTAATTTTCTTTGAAAAAGGAGGTGTAGCAATCCAGGTGTAATATCAAACAGATTTGGTTAAATGGCTCAAATGCACAACAAGAACACCACTTGTCCAAAGAATAATGTTCGCTTCTGACATATCATATGGGTAAACTTACAATGGTAGAAACTATAGAAACCCCAGAGTCACACACTCAAACCTCATGGTTTTGTATTCGTATACGGTTACAATCTTCTGCATTTTTCAGTTTTGCAGATCATTACACCCAGTGTCCAACACTCGAGCCGTGATAGGCTCTGAAAATAGCTTTCGAAGAAGTAATCACCCGGGCAACATACTACTTGCTACTATGTTTTTTGTTTCTACGGAGATCTTGCAGGCACAGCAACTTAGCAACTAATCCGCCAAACTGAGACAATGCGTAAGTAGCTGAGGATCTCAACCAATTCTAGGTCCATCAATCAACTCCGCAGTTCAAAAATTGTATGCTCTTGAAATGTAATATCACCTTGCTGGCTTGCTCCTGTTCCTTCTATTACACTATGTGCTACGGCTATTTTAGAAGTATCCGCCATATCTTTCTCATGTACACCACTAGGGACCATATGGCAAGTCCAGCTGATACATAAAGCAATGCGATGCCGGAAGTAACCAGAGCATCTTGTGCAGGAAGACTGCAAAGTACAAAGCACAAAAAACCGAACCATCAACACAGAAATAATAAAAAGAATGCTGCGCAATGTTAAAACTCCATGCAAATACCAAACAAGAATACCTTTTGTCTCTGCTCGCAAGGAGGATAGTCAATGCTGTCATCTGCGTTGCGGTCTTCCACTTCCCCAAATTGTTAACTGCCACAGCCTGTTGTAGCAAGTAGAAATTTAAATGGCTGAACAAATTATGACAATGGAATCCAAGGATAACTGAGCACAGGAGGAACCTCAAGAACTTTGGTATTCTGAGACGCAGCCCATTCTCTCACAGCTGACATTGTGATCTACATAAACACAAGATAGATGTGTAATAGGTTAGGATACTAGCTTGTAGCAACCATCACTATTCCACCACACTGTGTCAGTTACGTTTGTTCTACATGGATACACGTGTTTGCATAACTAGAAAATAGAAATAATGGTGCTCATGGTACCACACACCTTCGCATGGAATTACAAGGTTGACAAGAAACTATGGAATTAGGGTCTTAAAGCATGAAAAAAAGAAGAGATAAAATTTCTTATTCAATGCAGGCTTTTCACTTCTGTTTCAAGCAAGCCACATGATGGTGGCACTCTACCTCACAGAAAAGAGAATGAATTGGCTCAATCCCAAAAGATAGAGGTTGGCCAAACAGCATTCATTAAATCATAAATTATGTAGTCTTACCCTTAGATCTGTGCTCTAGATAGAACCTACGTTGCAAAAGCAAAACACCAAGTTGTCAGCTTCTTTTTATTATGGGAAGTTGTCAACTTATCATATATTGCATAGGTTTGAAACATAAACTTAGAGATTAAGATAAGCTGACCAGATCCAATAACCCAAGAAATCAAGATGTTACCCAAGATTTATGCTAGCTCACCAACAAAAAAAAATTTACTATAAACCAAATTTTCACTAAATGTGCATGAATTGACAATGTAGATTGGCTAAGGAAATACCTCTCTCCCAATAATAGCAATGGCAGGAACCGTTAGAAGCCATGGCCCATCTCTGAGCAGTGAAATTTCCAAAGGTTTGGTGCACAGCAACACTAATGTTGCAGCTACCATAAGCTGCAGCAGGGAATGGCAGTAACAAAGTTAGCTCACATTTGAACATAAACAATCCAACAGGAAAAACGAAAACACAGCTGTTCAAGTAACAAAATGGGTGGGAAGGGCAATTTAAGAAGTGAGCAGCAGAAAGAGAAAAGCAACCTTGTCAGCCACAGGATCAAGAAATGCACCAAAAGGTGTTCCTAACTGCATCTGTACAGAAAATTGTGTGAGGAAACAATTAAAGGGCTAAAAAAATGCTGGTAAGCACCTTGTCTGGCATGTTATTAAATCGGTATTTGTGACACACCTTTCTCGCAATATAACCATCTAGCCAATCAGTGACTGCAGCAGCAAGGAAGATGCCAGTTGTCGCAGTTGCTGCCCAAGGCCCCTCCATGTAGAAAGCTGGTCGCAATACAAATATTAAGCTGTTAGTTAAAATGTAAATAAATCAGAGCGACAAATTGGCATTAGTCTGTCAAAAATAAACAAACAGGCACCAGAACCAGATGCATATCAACCAGTATTTATCAGTGTAAACTGATAGAAATATATAGGCAAAGGTTCAATAAAGACTGTGAAGACAATATCCAAATAGAAGAAAGAGCATAACTGCTAAAGGATGTAAAGGTGATTCGATAAGTTCAACTACATTGATGTTACCTTACCTGCTGGTTATTGTCAGGTAAACATACTATTTGACCTCAGGAAACAAACAAGTACATTTTCTTACTTTCTACAGATGATAAGTTTGTACAAATCCATCTAACTGTTGCAGAAATTCCATGAATCATTGATAACAAAAAAGCATCACTAGTCATTTCGATAAAGCTAATGGATGTAAACTGTGAATGAATGCAAAAGCTCCTCATGTTTGTAAAAGGGATGTACATTGGAGCTAGATATTTAAACCTTCTATATATATAGTGATTATCCCAGAAACTTAAAAATGCAGTGCTGATAGGATACTTTAATTTGCATATCCCTTCAGTTTATAGGAGGTGAAAAGCATCACGTAGGACAACCTTTCAGCATCATTATAACGGAACTGGACTTGGAAAAGGTTTTTCTTGCCCTATTGTTCTAGAAAAAAGTCAAATACAGTGACTGAGGCATGCTTTCTTAGTCTAACAAGGGAAAATATAAAAAAGTAGGTGTCTTGGGAGAAGAAATGAACATGTTCTTAGCACACAGATTAACAAGAAAACCACTTCGTTTCCCCAATGGGTGGGAAGAGTAATGTGTATAATGCAACAGGGTTCATATGGGAGGATTCTTAGGAATTCTCAGGCACAACATGGGATACAGTAAAAAAATTGAGGATGGAAAAAGGTCCTGTGAAGGTTTGGATGAAATAGACTAAGCAGACTAAGCGCAGCACTGTGTCACATAGGAGATGAGCTCCAAAGTCTAGTGAGTAGTGCATATTAACAGTTCTAAGTAGAGTAGACAGGCCTAGCCTGGAAAACAATAGACAGAAGAGGCAGTAAAGACTATCTGCACAGGTGCCCCTATATGTCAACTACTGCGATGCACCATGTTCTGAATTTAGGAAATTACGGATACAAAAACAGATAGCAGTATCATCCAGTTAGCAGCACAGCATGTTAAAAATAAAACGGAGGATAGTGTCGATCTTTTGGACCATCAATTCCATTTATGGTTATTGTTCTGACGATTCAGGAATTATTACCTACCTGATCTACCGATCTGCTGATTCCATTTCCTTGACGATTAAGCACAATAATAATTGTTTTATGCAATAAATGGATATGCACCACGAACGAGAGGGACATAGGGGATTAGCATATCTAGCTGGGGTACTCCAAAACTTTCCAGTTTCAACTATTCCTCAATCAATTTGTTCCGGCACATTACTCGCAGCAAGATAACCTACAATTTCCTAGCGTTTCCAGCACTATCTTCGGGGAACTTGATTGTGCTCGAAGGACAACCCTGATCATCTTGACAGATTTCCCACATTACTAGCACACGAAAGAAAGTCGCCAACAAATCAAAGCTCTCGGTACTAGTTCCATCAATATACACGACCGCGTCACAACCCGACAAGAAACGCATAAAAAAATTCCCAAAGTTAAAAGGAACAAACAAGCTGTCGCTCGAACTTACTGCTTATCAGGAGCGGCACGGCGGCGACGCGGCCAATGGTGAGCACGGTGGGCAGCGTGAGCAGCTTGGGCGGAGGCGGCTGTGGCGCCCCGTCCTTCGCCACCCCGTTCACCGCAGGCGCCACCACCCGCCTCCTCCTCCCGACCCCTTCAGATCCCATACCCTCACCACCACCACCGCCACCGCCAGAATGCGGCAAGGAGCACAGACCCCTCACGGGCGCCTGCGCGGGCGGGGGCCACCGGAACCAGCGGCACGCGGCGGTGGCGCTGGTCGCCGTCGCCGCCGCCGTCGTCGTCGTCGTCGGACGGTAGCGGCTGCCTCCTGCGGCCGGCGGCGCGGGGGCAGACGGGATCCGCGGCGGCGCCGCGCGTGGGGAGAAGAAGGGCTTGGGGTGGAGGTGCGCGGCTGCGGCGGCGGCTTTGAGGAGGAGGGATGCGTGGGTGGCGACGGATGGGGGCATGGGTCGGATCGGTTGATTGATTGATGGATTGATTGGTCGATTCCCTCTTGTTTGGGCTGCGGGTTGGGGGGAAAGGTGCGGGGGACGTGGGAGGAGGAGGAGGGAGGAGTTACGCTTACGCACTCGCATCGCACGGCTAAACTTGGGGGTTTCGGTTAGGCTGGCCGACTGATAGCGGCGGCCACCGCCACGGACGTATACGTGATGGGGACGCCGGGATCTGGATCTGGACACCGGGGAGTAGTGCTAGTACTACTGTATTGTGGGCCACTGCGGTCAGGGGGAAATGGACGAAGATATTTTCTGTGGCGGACGGTGGACGGAGAGCCAGAGGCATTCGATTCTAGGTTGGGTTGATCGTATCCTTCCCTTCCGCTCTTGCCCTCACGTTTCGGAGAGGTCCCCACGTTCGATGGCGATTCGCCGGCGCGGCTTTTGCATGGGCCGCACGGGTGCACTACCATCACCACCACCGTATGAACGCGACGGCGGCGACGTTGATGTTAGCCAGCCGCTACAATGCTGTACTCCTAGGCCTCGCACCGACGCGGCTAGGCGACGCTACCGTCGCTACGTCTATACCTTCCGTCTCCCAGTATTTTAGTCTGTGTTTAGTTTCACCTTAAAATTAGAAGTTTGACTAAAATTAAAAGTTTCAAGAAAAAAATTTAATGTTCATGTATGTAGAAAAGTTTTGATATGATAAAAAAGTTAAAAGTTTGAAGAAAAAGTTAAGAACTAAACAAGCATCTAGTGTGGTGGCGTTTTGGGATTGACGCAAAACCCACTATGCCACTGTGCCACAAATGAAACGGTCGACGTTGTTTTGATACCGGGCCGGCAGCATGGTGTTTTCGCTTTTGCAGTGCATCAATAATCTCGTGCCGAGCTAGAAGGGCAACAGGTCACCGACGTTCCAGCCTCGGCACCAAAGCAAGATGAAATTAGTACTTCTACAGCTTTTGCAACACCAATGTCCAATGAGCTAGCATGTGGTGGTGGATATAGTTCGCATGTTTGTGGTTTTGCAAGTGAATGGTTTTCACATTTCGACGTGTGAATCCAAATGACCCGATGGACACACATAACTGTCCGATTAGAGAAGCTCATATGATGGACTGGATACCACGTTGGCGTGAATAATCTCTTTTGGAGTTTTGGTCCTTCCTCACAAATAAACTCCGATGAAAACTTTTTCATGGACCATCCTATGTATACCTACATGACCACAAATATTATGTTCCTGTTTGAAAGGGTTCCACCTTTTTTAGAAAAAAGTTCTTCTACTATAGTATATAAAACAAAGTTTTCAAAGAGGGCCAAACGGTGGAAAGTACTAGGAAAAAATTTTCAAATATGATTTGTACATCTCAACCACAAAACCGGGTATAATGACTCCTCAATCAATCAAGACCAGCGTAAAATGACTCCCTCGATGGGTTTGAGGGTGGTTTTGATTGATGTGATATCTATGTGGCAACCAGTCTTAAAAGAAAATAATAAAAAAAGATGTAGGACCCACTTGTCAATAACACTATATATCTCCTTTCTTCCTCTCTCTGCTCTCATTGGGCGTTTGGGGTGATGCAATGGCGGAAGAATGCCAGTTCCTATATCTCGCTCCGAACGAAGGATGGAGCGGCGGTGGTCCAAACTCAGCAGAGTGAGAAAGCGGATCAACCGAGGAAGGCGGCAGAGTGTGAGTCAACGGCACACTCCTCGACAGCCAACCTCGACACTCTCATGGAGCCGCTAGACGAGCCACCATTGTTGGTGATTGAAGAGACCGAGTTCCCCCTCCCACAACCTTCCATGGCGCTATCCCTCCCTATGGCACTTGCCCACGTTGCGGACAAGACCATGCGGCAGGGGCTTATCCCCATGCCCGGCGACAGCGAGTGTCAGAGAGGAGGGGTCATCGCGACGTCATTGAGCAAGAAGCTGCAGCGGGAGGAAGAAGCTCCGGCTGAGGGCATCAATGAGGCCTTTACGGTGCCGTGGTGTAGGATGGGTTGCGGCCCCACCAAGGAGAGGATGAGCTCCTTCAATCTCGTCGCTTCTTGTGCTTCGTCATCTTTCTTGGTGTGCTCTGGCAAGGATGTAGCGGCGATGAAGAAGGCACGAGAAGGCTGTCGGCAATGACAACACACTTAGTGGGTTCTTGTGCCAGCCCGTCTGAAAGAACGAAGAAAGAGTGGCTCTGGCATATGGACTCCGTATTTTTTTTGTCACTTACTTACATATGGGTGCACATCTATTTTTAATTCATCAAATAATTTGGCTGCCACGTGGATGTTATATTAGTAAAAACCACTCTCAAACCAGTTAAGGAAGTTAGTTTAGAGTGTTTTTAGTAGTTTGAGGAGTCGTTGTAGCGGTTTAAGTGATACGAATCAGATTCAACCTATCTATTATATTATTAAAGGAATAGAAAAAAGGAGCCTCCACGTTCGCTCTCATGGCTTAGAAATTCTCACATTAATCGGAGAAAAAGAAAAGGCAGAGTCCATATAGAAATACAATTTAGAAATAGCTGAAATTCGGAATTAAAAAATAAGGAATATTAGAAGAGGAGACTAGAGTCCATATAGAAATACAATTTAGAAATAGTTGAAATTCGGAATTAAAAAATAAGGAATATTAGAAGAGAAGACTAGAGTCCATCAATGTTGTCAGTATCCCGATTCGTATCTGACGGAGCGTGGGGCTCCTCACCGGGAGACCACGCAGGCCCCCCTTTGCCGGTTCGGCCGGGGACTCAGGGTGAGATTCTAAGCTCTCTGTATGTGGAAGGTTCGCGAGACCGGAAACACACAAGACTCGGGCGATGTATACAGGTTCGGGCCGCTGAGAAGCGTAATACCCTACTCCTATGTTTTTGTGAGATCTGTGTAGGAAGGAGCTACAAAGTATGAGCCAGCCTCTCCCTTGTTCTGGGTTCCCAATCTGGAAAAGTCCAGTCCCCCCTCTAAGTGGGCAAGGTCCTCCTTTTATATCTTAAGGGGATACCACATGCACCATTTCTCTCTTTTTTGTGGGGACTTACCCCACCTTTTCATAAATGGACGGAGATTTGTATAGTTGCCGTCCGAGTCACCTTCTGATGAGACGGCCCACAACTACCTCCACTTTCGCCGGGAGCAGATGCGACGTGGAATCATGGCTGTCCGCTGACGACATGACCGGTGTCAGACCAGTCACGTCGGTCATTCTTGTCCACCACGTGTCAGCTTAGCAATCTACATGTTCGCCCTTCTTCACACAACATCTTGCCTGTAATGGTTAGGATGAAGCCTGGCATATATCTGACCAGGACTATCGTGTCATCTCTGGGAGGTAACACGCTAGCTCCAGCTGGGGACGAGCGCCTAGAAGCCCTCGTCCTGACGGGATGGGGCGAGGCGTGCGTCAGATCGCCTGTCGCCACCTAACCCGCGATCTGACCGGTCTGTGACTGGTCACAGACCGGATAAATGAGTGCACTGCACTGCGTTACATGCGGCGTGACACGCTCAGCCAAACCACAATAAATGTGGTTAGGTGAGCCCCACTGTGCTCACCTAACCCATACACTCGGAGCAAAAACCCACGAGGGGTAGGGGCGCCTCGGCCCTCGGGGCCGAGGCGGGTGCGGCCCGACCCCCTCGGGGGGACTAAGAGGAGGGCGAACATATCACCCTCGGGCCCGACGTCCCTCGGGAGTACCAGGCCACGTGTGCGATTGTGTCTGCCTCAAACCTCTAGTCATGATACTCCTGATCCCATGTCACCGACAGTATCCTAATATCTTACGATACTACGATCTCTTACCAAGCCGAAACGATACCGATCCCACCTAGTATCCTAATTTTCATAGCATCTCAATCCTACTATTCATTACTGCACGATCCTACAAAATCTTAGGTGGTATCCCGATTCTACGATCCCTACGATACTACAAAATATTATTTAAAATAACATGGTTTGAAAATAGTGTAACTAAATATGCTCAAATTTATATGAAAATCAGTTAAATATATCAAAACCAACGTGGTTTCTCTTAATAAATGTCTCTATTTACATGACATATATCATTACTACTTTTTTTATATAGAATGGCTATATATAATTAATATAAATATTAATTAAATTTTAAAAAAGAAAATCTCATAGTATCCCGATCCTACGATACGATATTACTTTGAGCAAAACGATACTACCTAGTATCCCGATCCTGACAACCTTGGAGTCCATATAGAAATACAATTAGGAAAAAACTGAAATTCGGAATTAAAAATAAGGAATATTAGAAGTAGAGTATAGAGTCCATATAGAAATACAATTAGGAAAAAACAGAAATTCGGAATTAAAAAATAAGGAATATTAGAAGTAGAGTATAGAGTCCATACAGAAATACAATTAGGAAATAATAGAAATTGAGTTTAAAACTAACTAAAATTTGGAATAAATATAATAAAATTAAAATTAGAGTTTTTAGAGTCCATATAAAAATACAATTTACAAATAACTAAAATTTGAAATTAAGAAAAACATGGGAAGAAGAGTTTAAAGTCAATATAGGAATACAATTTAGAAGTAACTGAAATTCGAAATTAAAAATTAAAGAATATTGAAAGATGAGTTTAGAGTCCAAATAAAAATACAATTAGAAATAATAAAAATTCAGAATAAAAATAAATAATATTAGAAGAAGAGCATAGAGTCTATATAGAAATACAATTTACAGAAAATTCGGAATTAAAAAAAAAGAAATATTAAAAGACGAGTCTAGAGTCCATATAGGAATATATATAATTTACAAATAATTAAAATTTGATATTAAAAATAATTAATAATTAACACGTATATAAAATACAATATGAATATTACACATTAGTAGTTTTGTAAAGTTATTACAAAATTTAAAATTATGTTGTCATTTTAATATATTTGAATAATATAATGAGAAAACATATATGCTATTATATGAGAGAAAATATAATGATGCTAGTCGCGCAATCTGCGCGGGCCACCATGCTAGTTTTTTTAAAGAGGGTTAAAATTGTTTTTTTTTCCCAAAGTACTTACTCAGCAGGCCGCTCAGCCGCTGGCCTAAGCCCATACAGTTCCGTCTCACCTACCCGGCTCGTTTTCTTCCTATCGTCCGCTCAAAATCACCGGGCCCCGAGCCTCCCCACCGCCGTCTCACCATCACGCAAGTTGGACCGCGCCTCTGCCCTCGCGCTTGCACGCCCGCGGGCCGCGGGGGAGCGTGGTCTAACGCAACTGCTTCGCGCGCGAGGCCGGCCCGGTACGCGGGCGGAAGGGTTGATTTGCTTTGCCATCATCACGCGAGACCACGACCGCTGATTTTCTCGTTCTCCGCCAGTCGTCGCACGCGCCGCGCGAGCTGAGCTCCTCCTCCCCCACCCCACCCCCACCCAACCCAACCACCCCCCCGTGCCTGCACGGCCCCCGGCGGTCACCATCCACCAGGCGCCGCGCCGCCTCGCGCTCTCCTCGCCCCGCCATGTGCTGGCGAGTGGCGCGGCAACGAACAAAAGGGACCCAGATGGATCGTACCGTCCGGTAGGAATCGCGTCCTGTTCAGCCCGACACTCAAGCGTACTAATTCCGCTTGTACAGGACTACAGGCAGGTGTAACTACAGAAGCGCAAACAAGATGCAGGCATGCGGCTGTCTAAAATTCGGATTGTGGGCGTGCTTGCATCGCATGATGAGCTGACAGGTGACACCATCAACCGATTTGGTACTAGTACCATGTTTCATCAGGATGCTGGCCCACGGATTATCCGGTCCTCACCAAACCACCAAACGACGAGCCAGATGCTGGATGAGAGCAAAGATTATCCTACAGGAGTGTAGGCAAATGGCCAAATGCCTGACACAAACAAGAACACACCACACGAGTGAATGACACCATGGACCATTCATCAATCAACTAGTACTGCTAAGAACAGGTACAATGCCGGCTGTAACCATATATCGAAAAGAAAAAAGAAGAAAGCGAGCTACATATTTGTAGCCGGCTGCAACACGGATTTTTCTAAAATGTTATCTGTGTATGAGAGGTGAGACCGTGTATTAATGGTGTAGTATATTTTCATAGTTAACTACTATATGAATGAGCTATTAGATTAGCTATAAATGTTTTGGAGCCAGCAGTTGGCTATACTGTTGACCTTGCTCTAATATAGCACAACTGTAAACAACCACTCCCTATACCAAACGGGTAGGAGTAGTACAACCTCCAAATCCAGGTCAAACCAGGCGATTCGATTTCTATTCCCGTTCTCCCCTCCAAGGCTGACTAGCGCTGCAATCTCTGCACCCTCGGCTCGGCTCGCACCATTTCCAGTATACAGGTCCACGCCTCCACGTGACAGGTGCTCGAAGAAGAAGGGCTCTGCTTTTGCTTGCTTTGCTCCCCGACCCGGCCGGCACGGCGTGCGCCGCCAAGCCGCCGCCGCCCGCCATGGGCGCCATGGGCGCGGCGGCGTTCGACTTCGAGTACAAGAGGTAAATCGCCGAGACCGAGCTGCTTACAGCGAAGCCATGCAGATTGCAGGCAGGCAGGCAGAGCAGCAGGAGTCAAAGGCGAGGGCGCGCGCGCTCGCCGCGGCATCGTCGTCCCGCGCGCCACGTGCTTCCCGCTCTAGCCTCGATGCGAAAAACGAGTTTTTTTTTCTTCTTCGTCTTCTGGTTCCCCCCCAATCTGCGGTTCCTCTCTTTCTTGTTCTTCTATTCCTCTCTCTCTCTCTCTCTCTCTCTCTCTCTCTATATCTATCTCCGTTGCTTCGCGTCTGGGGCCTCGGGCGGCGCGCGCGGGGAGGGGCGTGGTGCAATTAACGGGCGCGCAGCTCCACCTTGCCGCGATCCGTCGCAATTCTTTGATTCCCTTCGCGGAATTTTTCTTTCTTTTTTTTCCCCATTCCATGTGCGTGGATCTCGGGGCGCGGGGCTAGGGTTTAGTATGGCTTTGGTCAATCCATGGCGTGCGGTGCCGAGGTCGCCCTGTCGCTTCTTCTTTAATGCGCGTTGATCCCCATGGACGGCGAGTGCCGGTAAAACCCAATAAAAGGCGCCTCCTTTTCCTTTCCTCCGCCTCCCTCTCGCTAGCATTTATTGTCTTGTATTGTTGCATACGTCGTTGTTCGTTTAGGTTGGATTTGGGTTAGGATTTGTGTGGCATAATGCGGTGGTTGGAATTGCCTTCGGGAGTTGTGGTTGATGGTGGTGAGGTTTGGCGCAGGGACGCGTATGGATTCGCGGTGCGGCCGCAGCATCTGCAGCGTTTCCGCGAGTATGCCAAGATTTACAAGGTAATTTACCAGGGGCAGAGTAGAAATGGAAATGCGTTGTTTTTGTTTGTTTCAGGTTAAGTTTTGATACATACTGTACTATTTTTTTGGCTGTTGTTTGGTTTATCAGGAAGAAGAAGAGGAGAGAGCGGACAGATGGAAGGACTTCTTGGACAGGTTGGCTGAATCTGCAGATGACATCACAACCAGCATTTCACCTTCCAAAGAGGACTCTGCTGCTGGAGATGTCAATGGTGGAGAACACCTTGATGGAGCTGAAAACTTAGAGAATAGCAATAGGGGTGGAATAAAATGCAACAATGAAGAAGAGGAGGGAGAAGAGGATGCAGAAAAGAGCGATACACCAGAAAATTCGAAGGAAATTGATGGCAACAATCAATCGCAAGAAGCAAATGGTGAGGCGGACGATATCAATGATGTATCTGCCAACTCAGAAAATCTGAAACAGGAGAGCATTGCAAACTCCGTAGAATCGGACAAAGCTCCAGAAGAATTGAAGGAGGTGAGTGGGTGTTCAGAGGAACTATTAAATGATGAGAATGGTGATTCTGAAGGATTAAAAGATTCTCATGGTGCCTTGGAAGGATTAGGTGAAGCGAACAACGACAACTCGGAAAAGTTAGAAGAGCTTTTCTTGGATAAGGGGTTGTTGGATGAACTGAAGCCTATAAGAGTTGAGTCTGGGAAGCGGGTGCGGGCATCAATCAGAATCATTGAGAAAATGATGAGCTCTCGAGTGGGCAAGATAAGGAACACTGCAAATGACATGTGTGGAAATGGTGAAGCACAGCTTGCATCAATTGAAGAGGAGGAAAGGGCAGCAGATAAGAGTTGTAGAGGGGATCCAGCAGAGGAATCTTCTAATCCAGATAAGGTGGAGCAGGCACAGGACAGGGAACAAGGTGATTCTGCGAGTGCTGCTTTGGAGGGAGGCAATGGCGAGTCTTATTTCCCTTGGAGGGAGGAACTCGAGAGCTTGGTCCGTGGAGGTGTGCCAATGGCTCTTAGAGGAGAGGTGCAACTGTAACCAGAATTATCTGTACTGTTTTTATATCCTTATAATAGATATATACCTACACTCACATATGGTTGATTTTATTGCAGATGTGGCAAGCATTTGTGGGTGTTGGTGCTCGTAAAATTACTGGGTACTACAACAAATTACTAGATGAAGGTACTGAGGAATTGGATGAAAAGAACCCTGAGGACCAAGAGTTGAAAGATCAGACAAATGCACAGAAAAAGCCCCCAGAGAAGTGGAAGGGACAGATAGAGAAGGTTGCTCTCTGATTTGAAATGGGAGGAACTAATGTCATGTTTTAGAAGTTCTACTGTTCTAGGTCTCTACTCTCTACACACTTGAATGCTTGATTTGCCTGTTATCATTATAGGATTTGCCTCGAACATTTCCGGGACACCCTGCACTAGATGAGGACGGGAGAAATGCTTTGCGACGGTTATTAACAGCATATGCAAGGCATAACCCATCAGTTGGATACTGCCAGGTGAACAAATGCTCATTGGATAATTTTATGTTAGTTTTTAACCTCTTGTAATCTACTCCCTCCGTCCCATAATATAAGGGATTTTGAGTTTTTGCTTGCAACGTTTGACCACTCGTCTGATTCAATTTTTTTTGAATCAAGGTACTTAGTACCTAGTACCTAGAGGTACCAAATTTTACACTAGAAAATGTGGTACCTTCTCAAGGATGGTAAAATTACCCAATTTATAATCATATGCATGTGCTGCGAAATAATGTATTACCTTTGAGTAAAAGATGAATTGATGAGGGCTGTATTTTATACTGAGAGATCCATCGTGAACTATGAAACTTGTCACTTTTCAATCATCCACGCTGACAAACGAATTATGAATATTGTAACTTCAGAGGTGATTTACAAGGTTAAAATCAATTAAGTCTATCCCAAGTTCCAAATATGCAATTCAACTATTAGCTAGCTTTGCAAGGCTGGCAAAATCATTAAATGTTCTATATGCTAGACACCATTAATCTGGCTCAGAAACATCTGTTGCATTTTCTTTTGTCAATATAACTAGAGTGCCTTTACTCTTTACCTTATATCTTCATTGTTCTTCTTGCAGGCCATGAACTTTTTTGCTGGCCTATTTTTATTATTCATGCCTGAAGAGCATGCATTCTGGTATGCTTTTATTAAATGCCTTGTCTCTTGAAAAAAAATACTTGATTGATAATTTTTCTTTGTATTTTCAAGATTGTATGCTAACTCTAATTCCACTTTATTTTTCTCGTTTTCGCTCATCATTTTGAATTTTCAGGGCTCTGGTGGGGGTCATTGATGAGTATTTTGATGGTTATTACACTGAGGAAATGATTGAATCTCAGGTACTTCTTAATTCATGATACATGTAATGTTTCCCAAAATCCTCGTTAATGTTACTGCCCGTTTACAGGTTGACCAGCTTGTTCTTGAGGAAGTTGTACGAGAAAGATTCCCAAAACTTGGTTTGTATTTCAATGATATTATTACTACACTTGTCCTTTTGTAGCATTCTGCATTTCACATTATCTTAAAAAAAACATGGTCCTGGTCATGCTTTTGTATTCAGTTGAAATGTTGAGATGACTTTATTTGTTTGAACACATAATGTATCAACTTTGTGGTGTATCACTCTGTACTTACATCAATTACAACCCTCTTTCAGCAAAGCATATGGATTTCCTGGGAGTTCAGGTGGCATGGGTGACTGGACCATGGTTTCTTTCAATTTTCATCAATATGCTTCCATGGGAAAGTGGTCAGGTTTTATGCAATAGCTTGGTGCTTTCATTAAGATATATACTCATACTTATACATTTGATGTTCGGTACCAGTCCCTTAAATTGAACGAAACATGCATACCAAATTGTTAGGATAATGAGAATCCCGTTCTATTATTTTTTGAATGTTACATATTCTTGTCATGTATGTTAATAATTTGTTAGGTTTAACATCATCTGATTGAAACTTTTGCATTCTCTTAGTTCTTCGTGTTTGGGATGTGATCCTTTTTGAAGGAAATCGAACGATGTTGTTCCGGACAACGCTTGCTTTGCTCGACTTATATGGTATAACTTAATCCCTGAAAAAGCTATTGTTTCCTATTATTTGTTCTTTTCTAATAAGCATTGATGTGTAAGTGTAATCTACACTGTTGTCTTTGTATGTTGATTTGTAGGGCCTGCCCTGGTGACCACAAAGGATGCTGGAGATGCAATTACATTATTGCAATCTCTTGCTGGCTCTACTTTTGACAGCAGTCAACTTGTGTTGACAGCTTGTATGGGTTTTCAAGCAGTCAGGGAAATAGGGCTGCAGGAGTTAAGGAAAAAACACAGGCCTGATATTATATCTGCTATGGAGGAAAGATCAAAAGACCGCCATTCTTGGAAAGATAAGAAGGGTTTAGCAACTAAACTTTACAGCTTTAAACATGATCCTCTATGCCCACAAGTTAATTCCAAGGAAGGGGAAGATGATTTGCAAGTGAATGGGGAAATGCAATTTTTAGATTCTGGGTCAGCAAATCTAGAAACCTACCTTACTAGTTCAGCTCTAGATAATGAGTTGGAAGAGGGCATTGATCTTCAAGATCAGGTAAGAACTTCTCTGTACTGATTTATTTGTACTGAATGAGCTGATGTTTTCTCTAACAGAAACAAAAAAACAATGTGCTTATAATATGCATTCAAATTTATTGGTCATTCTGATAATTGACATTCAGGAATTTGTGTCACGGTCCTTCTGTATAATTGAATGGTTCCTATCAATATTTACGTTCCTTTCTGAGCTTAATATTCAGATGTTTTTTTGCCAATATGGAATTTTTAGTTACCTTTTCTTATGTTAAACATGATGAATTTCTATACTCAACTACTCAAGCAATGCTCACAGGTAACATGGTTGAAAGTTGAGCTGTGCAAACTGCTCGAGGAGAAAAGATCAGCTGAACTCAGGTTTGTTGTGCTTCTATTCTGGATCTATTTATCCACATAGTTAAATTGTACAGGTATAGTTACAAAGAAGAATAGCAATAGTACGGAAGCTATCCCAGCCACTGCTAGATATAACAACCTGCAAAACTCGGAACTCTTAAATATAAATCGTTAAGGAGGGAATTTCTCCATCTAAACTTATTTGGAGCATTCCATCAAAGATGTGTCTGGTTCTTTCCAACCAGATAGGCCAGCTCCCAGCATTCAAGAGTAATTAGTTCTTTAAGAATAATTCCCCCTTTTCTCAGTTTCACAGTAAATTTTAAATAATTTTTGCATCTAAAATAATTGGTAAAGTCTTCGTCAAATTCATGCATACTTTCATCTAAGTTGTCGCTGTAATGTTTTGGGCCATTAACTTAGTTTTGTACTGTGTCCAACTCCTATCATGATCTATTAACACATGTCATGCTCTCAGAAGCGAGGAGTTGGAAACTGCTTTGATGGAAATGGTCAAGCAGGACAACAGACATATGTTGAGTGCTAAGGTAAGATGTTATCTACAACTGCTTCTCTTTCCCCTCCAGGACTGCACAACTTAATGCAATCCAAGACTTCTTTATAATTGAACCAATTGCTTGAAGATTACCTAGTAGTAGTGTAGTTATAGTCCTTAAATCTGTTTTGTCCTTCGGGCTTAAATTTGGGCACATTCATTCTTGACTTAGAAAAGATTCTCAGGTTGAGAAATTGGAGGCAGAGGTATCTGAGTTGCGAAAGTCCTTTGCAGACAAGCAAGAGCAAGAGCAGGCAATGCTTCAGGTTCTATCTTACAGCTTAGTATGCCTGTGCTTTATGCCATCTGGTTGGCTAAAATATATACATATTTACATATGCCTGCAGGTTTTGATAAGAATGGAGCAGGAACAGAAAGTGGCAGAAGATGCCCGCATAGCTGCTGAGAGAGATGCTGCTGATAAGAAATATGCTGCTCAGTTGCTCCAGGTTGCTTCAAGATGTTCTCTCAAACTGCTAGTTTTACACGTACAATTTGTAATATCTGTAAAAAGGGAGTTGCATAACCTTTTTGTTCCTCGTACATTCAGGAGAAGTATGACGCAGCGATGGCAGCACTTCGACAAATGGAGAAGAGAGCTGTAATGGCCGAAACTATGTTGGAAGCTACAAAGCAGTACCAGGCAGGGCAGTTTAAGGCCAACCAGTCCTTCAATCCAAGGTATGTTTAAACTCCTATGCTATATGTCCAGTATCATGGATGAGTTCTGATCAAATGATAATTATTAATTAAGTAAATTTCATAAAACACACTTATTATGGTATAAGTTGCACAAAACCACAGGAATTTCGGAATGTGGCACATAATCCCAGGTATTTATGGTCCTAAAGTTTTACAAAACCACACATTAAGCATTTAGGGAGCAGTGGGCATGACTAATTTGCTTTTGTTGCATCGTATCATACTTGCTAGTGGTGATGCTTCAGATAGTTCCTTTTCGTTTTCTCAGTACTCCATTCATTTATTAACATAAATCATCCTTAGCTACAAATGACATATTACTGATGTTTCTTGTTGGTTTTTAACATTCAACTTTCTAACACTGTCTTTGCATGGTGACACTTCGTTTACTCGGGATTCTTTTGTAGTTCACCTCGTGCTGCCCCTCAGTCTGGGAAGCCAAATCAAGATCCTAACCAGGATGCACCTAACAGGAGATTGGGCTTGCTTTCTAGGGGCCTTGGTTGGCTAGAGAAAAGCAAGGTACCTTGATTTGTTTAATGCTTCAAGATACGACTTAATTTGAGTAAAAAAAAAGGGGATATCCTCTTTATTTCATATTTGGAAAAGAAAAAAAATATTAACATCATGATGAGCCAAATGGCTCTAGGAAGATGATACAAACTTGAGGTACAATTGTTCATTAACTTTGATTTTTTTTTTATCAGGGAAAGTCTAGTTCCACTGAAACACCTGAAGGCTAAACTCCTGTCGAATCAGGACATGATTGTTGCTAAGGATTGGATTACCTGATCACCAGAAAAATGCGTTCATGCAAGCATCAATGTTTTGCCCGCAGGAAGATTCAACATGAATTTCCCATGAAGTTTTGCTGAAATTGTCATATGTATCATATCGAGCCCAGTTGTCAGATGCAGCTTCCTTGTTAGGTTCGAATTGTTGTAATGCATCCGTGTAAATTTTCTTTTTCAATTAGTTTTATTAAGATTGTCGATAGTTAGTTCCGGATAGGAGAAAGAAAAGGCACACTACTTCCCATACACATTAGATTAGTTTGCGACGATGTCGTGGTATTATACCGGTGAAGAGCTGTTTTTATACCTCTTCGGGAAGAGTTGTGCAGGAGTAGTGCAAAGAAATGATGTTTTTTTATTCATGTGACTTGCTTTCACACGAGTGCCTTAAGCATATTAATTTCATATGTTGTGTAAACACCGAGTCTCCACTGAGAATGCTCTTTTTTAAAATAAATAAATAAATAATAATAATCAACCACTGGATCATATAATAAATCAGGAATGGTCATTCAGAATTTTGGTGAGATTATGCCTATTTCTTCCTTGAACCTCTATACCAGACATATCCATTTATGCGCAAGCTGTCACTGCCATAACACAGAAATTTTATGGTTCAAGGTATCTACAAAGTATAAAACCGGTACCTCGTTAACGACAGTAAATCACTCTTAACATTGTAGTGATTGCATATGACTTGGCAAACTAGACAAGTCGAAGCATCTGCACTGCCCGGAATGGGCAGGTTGAACAAGCACTTAGATATTTTTTTGACGCTGAAAGGTAGAGAGACTCTACCTTATAACCATCTTATTGATGGCTGGTCAAGAGTTACGCGGCCAATTGGCCAAAACAAGAAAGAAGAGGAATACTGAAAACAAAATATAACCTTAGAGCAAAGTTGAATGCAAAGAGAGACTTCAACGCCATTTAAGTGCATCCATACTCAAATGGACTGAGTTTGATCTGACACTTGGGTATAACCTTGAACCAAAGTTGTATCCAAAGAGAGAAGCTTTAACCCCTTTTAAGTCCATCCATACAACAAATGGACAGAGGTTGAACTGACACTTCGGTGTAACCTTAAAACAAAGTTGTATCCAAACACAAAAAAAACTTTAATCCCTTTTAAGTACATCCATACAACAAAGGGAAGCAAACGTGAGACCCATCTCATCCTGATTTCAACATAGGAGCAATGCCATGAAACCATCTGGAGATGCTTTCGGAGTATGGAGCTCTATGTCGAAAGACAACAAAATGACAAGCCTCATCCATGTACAGAAGAAAAGGAACAGAAGTTCCCTCCAGAAATTCAACCATATGTTCCGAAATGGAACAGCGCTGTTCTTCAGTTTCTACTACTCTCAGGCAGTAACCATCACGGCTCACGACACAAAGAGCAAGGCTTGAGACTAATAGTGACAGGGAAACCATGTTGCTGTTCTGCAATTGGGCTTCCTAGCTGCCTTCTCCCTGATCCTTGGCTTGGTTCCAATCTTCTATCCTCGGTTCAGTCGATGCACTGGAACCTACAGATGATTGCAGACGAGATGACCACCGCTTTCTGCTGGATTGTGACTCTGAGATCTGAGTAAGAGCATCAACTACTGCTGTGATATCTGGCCTCCGGTTGGCTGTTCTGTCAACACACAGAGCAGCAACAGTAAGGGCCCGGAACAAGGACCTCATGTGGTACTGACCGTTAAGCACCGGGTCTGCTAATTTGGGAAAATCCTTTTTGTTGATCTTGGGGATGGCCTGAAATTATGCAACAAATTAATGGCGAAAGAATAACTCGTAACAAAGCATGTAAGAGCCATAATGGAAGCAGTTAACATATCAGCTGTTTTGTCTCCTTTGTTAACAGTTGGTATCTTCCAATTTTGCTTAAAATTCAAGGTACACAAAGAAAATAGATTTCGGCCAAAGGATATAAGTTGAATGTGGGGGAGTAAAATAAACCCTGGATGAAGCTAGAATCTAAAATCGATCTTTACTGGCTACTTCTCTCATGACATAATATGTAAGACTAAAAAAAATCGCGACTGCAATGATGAGACGAAATAAAAATAACAGAAGCACACAAGTCTAAGATGATCAAATAGTTGAAGTAATTATATAAAGATAGTGTTATGTGCTCTTTCATGAGCAGACTTGTGCATGCAGGAGAAGCAAATAACACAATTAAGTTAAAACAGGAAGAAATGGCTTACCCATTCAACAATATTTCGCTCAGGCTTAGCTCGACTGTCATCTATAACCTTTTGTCCTGTGATGACCTCCAACATGACCACACCAAAGCTGTAAATATCTGACTGGACGGTCAGTTTACCACTCTCAAGATAATCAGGAGCACAATATCCAAGTGTGCCCATCACTCTAGTCGAAATATGAGTGTCATCACCAGTTGGACCCATCTTTGCCAAGCCAAAGTCAGAAAGCTTTGGATGATATCCATCTCCAAGCAAAATGTTTTCAGATTTCACGTCGCGGTTTATGACGGGAGGGTCAACATTGACATGCAAGTGCTGCAGGCCTTTAGCTGCCCCGACAAGTATCTTGATCCTTGTGTTCCAGTCAAGAGGCTTCTTATCAGGGGAAAGATCTGGAAAAATTAAGACCCAGTTCTGATTAGACAAACTTCTAATTATTTAGAAGCAGTGTAATGAAGGAGGGAACTATATATGTTACTAGTTTGTAACATACTAACATACCATGGAGATGACTTTTCAGGGAACCCAAAGGCATGTATTCATAAACTAAAAGCCTCTGATCACCATCCTGACAACAGCCAATAAGCTTGACAAGATTTGTGTGATGTAGTTTACTCAACACTGAAGCTTCGGTGATGAACTCCCTGTCTCCTTGATTGCCTTGTAGATTAAGAATCTTTATAGCCACCTCCTGTCCAATTGCATGGTTCGAGAATTAGAGTGGCACACAAGTGAATTAGACCCTACAAGATCTTCTCACGAGTCACGGCTATCAATTTTCACAGACAAAAAAATTGAAATGCTACAGGAGGCCACTTCAATTGGAGATAAAGAGAGTAGTCTGCTACAAGAGCAAAGTACAAACAACCACAAAGAGATCAAGTTGCCACAAAAGAGCTGCAACAGAAGAAAGAACAGCAACCAAGTTCTAACAAGAGCACCAAACTGACTAAGAAGGACAAAACCAAATAACAGAAAGGATAATAAAGAGGATAATGATTGACTTGGACATCTTCCTTGTTACTACGCCGAAATGCATGCCGAACACCCGTAGATGATACATGCATCAAACACTTTCACATTTTCCTTAAGCAAACCCTAACTGTTCTTATCAATTTAACAATAGCATGAATTCGAGAGGAATAATATACATGAAAGGAAATACTACAGCAATCCTTTTGTGTCTAACAGCTTCAATTCTACCTGAGACCCGTAATGTTCACCCAGATACATTAGCAACAAAACATCATCTTACTTTGGTACTACATACAAACCTTAATCAACTAAAGAATTTGCAGAAACACATGTTGCATGTACCCACCTGGGAGTTATCCAGCACGCCCCTATACACCTGGCCAAACCCGCCCTCTCCTAGAAAGCGATCGTCACTGAAGCCCCCTGTCGCCGCATACAGCTCCCCGTAGGTGAATGACTGGCCATGAATAAGCCTCTCCATACCATGGTTCGAGATGGAATCAGCATTTGTGGTATTTAAATTCACATCCATCTCTGCAGAAACAATGATAACAGATGAGCATGAGGCACACTAATGCAATGGTGTCAGCTATTTAAATTCAACAAGAGAAAGAAGACAAATTAAACCAAACCATTGTAAGATTGCAGAACATAAGGTAATAACATTAACATATATAAGACAAAGTAAAAGTATTTCTACTAGTATTGTTATCAAAACAACCGAAAGCAATACAGACAAAAAAGTAAAACACGCGTATTTTGTGATATTACTCCCACCGTTCCAAGAAAAGCCAGTGAAAGCTGACAAGAAACACCCAAGCGGAGAACCTTACTCAGGAGATCAGGACAAAATCATGCCAATGCCCAAACACCATTTCTTTACGAAATCAATACTCCACTGGCAAGAAATCAAGTAAAGAGTTTCAACACCTTTCAAAGAAAATCAGAACAGCACAGGCAAACCATAATATGAAAGAAAGGGCAATTCAATGCCCAGAATCACGTTCCACGACATTAGTTACACCATCGGCAAGAAAATTAAACGGACTATCTAAATTTCCAAAAAAAAAATCTGATTACTTGCGACATAGCACGGATTAGAAAATAGAAAAATCATGGTGCCTTCTGAACTGTTTTTTAGAAGGTTCAAAGCATCCCAAGTTCCAACTTCCAGAAATAAAAAGAATTCAGGTCCATGCCTTGATGCTAACGAGCAAAAATCTCAATATACGTTTAAGAACATCACAAGTCATAACCGATGAAGCAAAGATAAGGGGAGGAATCCAAAACCACGGTGATCGCGCGAGAGCCAGCAACCATCGCCCGCCCGGTGAATCCAAGAAGGGAGTCAAGAACCCTCGCATAGGAAGTCAGAAAACCACGAAGCTCGACCAGTCATCGCCCATAAACGGGTCGAAACTCGAAACCAAGAAATTAATTAGCGCCGAAATCAGATTCCGAAGCAATGCTATGGCCAAGAACCGATGCCACGTTCGCGGAAGCAGAGGGTGTCAAGAGCAAGGGGAGGAGAGCCCGTAGGCCGTAGCATTAATTACCTGAGGCGGCCGTCTCGTCCGGTGTGATCTGTGGCCTCTCCGCGGACTCCTTCCTGCTCTCGTTGCCGCCCTCCGATGAGAAGCAGCTCCCCATGGCCGCCGCCGACTTCTCCTCCTGACGCGCAAGCGCGCGCCGTTGCGGCAGCGATGGAAGAAGACGGGGGAAGAGAGAGAGAGAGAGAGAGAGAGAGAGAGAGAGAGAGAGAGAGAGGTTGGGGGGTGTTCAGTGCAAAGGTGCAGCAATATCGAAGGATACCGGTAGTCTTAAAAAATGTTGACGGATGAGAGAGAATAAAAAAAATTGCTCCTCTCCAACTCCTTTTTATCACTTGCAGTAGTAATACCAATCACGTGAATAATACTAAATAGTGGGGATAAAGATGACTTATTATATCAACAATAGCATCCGTAAGGATGCTACCGCTATTGTAAAAAAACTTCCAAATAACGACTTGTAATGTTACAAATGCTACGGTAGCTTAATAATAACAGTAACGATTATTCAATACGACGTTATAAAAATCGTTATTTTTACTAGAGTTGAAAATTGAAAGCTAAAGTTAAATGTTTTTTTTCCGCAGCTGACTCTCATCAATGCACAAATATTGGTTGGTATAAGAATCAACAAGATCTAAATATTAATTACAGTATTACATACATGCCTATTTCTACCTTCTACATTGAATTTGGACTTAATAGAATTTGAACTCATGATATATACACAATAAACTAAAAAATCCGAGTACTTCTTTCATCCTCTATCATAATATCAGAATATAGTGTCTGCGATCCCTTTTAAGCTACTATAACGATCCTAATTCACTACTAGCCCACTATATATTATTTAGTACCCCTCTATGATCATAGGGATGTACACCCTCCATTAAAAAAATCTGAACTATTTCCTATGTTTCAAAAAAAAAAAGAGTCTATTCCTATAAATGAATATGGGCATATGTATGTTTATATTCATCCTTAAGTTTTTTTTATAACGGGAGTATATTTTTTATCTATTTTTTCTATATCTTCTCTTTTCCCGTGTTTTCCAATTTCTCCCAATTTTTTTCCCATTCGCCCTCATTTTTTATTCTTTTACCTTCCGTTTTTGTCTTTTCTTTTATTATTACAATAAATATATATTTTGCGGGCTAAACGGGCTGCCGTGCTGCTTTTGGCCCGTCGTGCCCAGGTCGACACGGCCCGGCCGGTGAAGCTCTTGGGCCGTGCTTGGGCTGCTTGCCGAGCACGTGGGCCGGAACGGCCCGTCTACTGAGGCGTGCCCGTCTCGTGCCTGGGCCATCGTGTTGGCGGCGTGGAGTCCTCGCGCTCGCGGTAGGTTTTCCTCTGTCATTCGGCGGCGGCGGCGGACCGGCGGCGAGCACAACGGGACGGTGAAGGGAGCAGGGAAGGTGCGGCGGGGCCTTTGAAGACGGCGGCGGAGGCCAGCGAGGAGGCGGCGATCAGGGTCCAGCCCTCCAAGGCCCCGATGGAGGAGTACGGGGGCGGGGACCTCCTGAGCGAGGCAATGGGCTCCGGAGCGCGCGTGGTGGTGGTGGAGGACCGCGTCGAGGCGCCCGGGGCCTTCGCCCTGCACCTCCTCCTCAAGCGCGCGCTTGCCGGTGGCGGCGCCGCGGCGCTCCTCGCCCTCGCTCAGCCTTTCTCCCACTACGACCGGGTTCTCCGTAAGATGGTACGCTCCGCTCCGTTCGATCCGCTCGACTCCCTTGCCCGCGTTTCGTCGAACATGTCTTTTGTCTATTGGCTTCGTTGACCTATCCCCAATGACCGGGGGATTCACATTTACAAGTCGCACTTTGAGCACTCCGCTATCAAATTCGAGACCAGCAATTAGTTTTCGTTCTCAACTCAATTGCGTCAAGGGCCTGCCGTTCTTCTTCGGGTTAATGGTGCATGTTAGATTTTTAATGCCGTGGAGCTCACACATTTGTTAGTGTTGATTAAGGATGGATGGGAAAAACAAAATAGTACTCCCTCCGTTTCACAACGTAAGTCATTCTAGCATTTCCCACATTCATATTGAAGTTAATAAATCTAGACATATATATCTATTTAGATTCATTAACATCAATATGAATATAGAAAATACTAGAATGACTTACATTGTGAAACGGAGGAAGTAGGATCGAAGTGCGCATGAAAGGGGATGGGGGCTGTTAGTTCACCAGATGTTATGAGAAGTTGAACTGTTCCGAGATTCTAGTCATTAGTCAATGAGCTCTTGGTTCAATTTTCAATAAGGTGTCTTGCACCAGAACTAGAAGGTTGAAATCAATTATCATTGGAAGATAGAAAGCTGAAATTATTAGTGTATGATGACCGAGAATCATGAGAAGATTGGTTTTTGCTATGAGCACTACATGCTAAATTATGCTATTTTAGCTGTGGTGTACAGAAATTCTTAACTCAACCAGATAAGACTAGCAATATATGCTTATTTTCTAGCTTCAGTAAGCTCATGTACTATCTGGGACAACCTTTTTTATTATTTGTATAACCGGCCAAGCCAGGAACTGAACAGTTCTTGCGCCTTATGAGATGGGATAAAATTTCCTAGTAAAGTTTCTACTGGTACACTGGAGGGTGGGAATGGGATAACCGTTTTATTACAAATCATGAATTCCTTTCCACTACCGTTATTATGAACCTTGATTTGGACAAGCTGCTATACAGTGCTATGCATAATGGATGCCTTTCCTAGTTGAAATATAGCATGTAATATGATTTCTTCTCAAATTTACCAGGGCTGTAACCTATCCTTGCATAGGAAGAGTGAGAGGCTTCATTTTTTTGACTTGCAGGCCTTCCCAGGCAAGCAATCACATCAATGCCTTGTATTCGTTCCAAATGATATTGCATAAAGGCATAATTACTGAGTTACAGGTTTGCTTTGCTTCTGTACGCAGGTGGAGCAAAGGGAGGTGCCATTTCTGATAGTTTTGTTAGACTGTATGGTGACATTCAAAGAGCCATCGACGCTAGCAGGACAGGAGATAATACAGGCCGCTTTACTCTCATGATCGATGATGTTTCACTGTTAGAAGTTGCAGCAGGTGGTTCTGTAGATGATGTGTTGGACTTCTTGCATTATTGTGTTACACTTACCTCTGAGATGGTAAATGTTAGATCTATTAAAAGTTGCTGAGATCTCTGTAATTTTTGCCTTGCACTCATGTTTTTTTTGCCTTTTGTTTATGACTTGGCAGAATTGCTCGTTGGTCTTCCTTATTCATGAGGATATATATTCGAGTGAGGAAGGTGTGGGGGTCCTTTTGCATCTGCGCTACATTGCAGATCTTGTGATCAGAGCTGCACCTTTGAGCACTGGTTTAGCTGCTGATGTTCATGGACAGGTAGGTTCTTGCCCTTATTAGTCCACGCTGTAGAAAATGTAGCAATTGTTGATAAACTTGCATGAGAATCTTATTACCAGGGTTGGATATTTCATTTATAATAACTATTGAAGTTGCTCAAACATTTTCAACAGCTTTCAGTGGTAAACAAGTGTACATTCAGGGAGCAAAGGCTAAAAGCACAGAGAATTTGGAACTTCCATTTTAGAGTGAAGGAAAACGGCGCTGACTTTTTCTACCCTGGGAGCAGACATTAGCTTGCATATTGATGTATCACTTCGGTAGACACGGGAATCACAGAAGCAATGGAAGTTGTAATGCGTGTCGCTCCTGTATTTTAGGCAAATGTTCATGAAATGTTTTCACAGAATGTATCAATTGAGGACTAAACCAGTAGGTTCAGTTTATTGGGAAGAACCAGTAAGCTGAGGTTCTCCCGCATGTAGCATTGTCTTTACTCAACCGTGCTAGATAGGCATCGTTACACTACGTTAGTTGCATCATTTCATAGCGTAACTGGTTTCAGGTTCAAAACGACGAAAGCATTTTGTCCAGAAAGTTATCTGAACCAGCCTACCATGGCAATTTTTTTAGAGGAAAGATCGTCAGCATCCGGCTTTGTAAGAAATCCCAAACATCACAGAGGTTCATTACAAGACAAAGCTAAAGCAAAACTTAAAAAGAAACCGTCATTACTGCACTGGGGTTGCCATTACTCCATAACAGTAGTCAACCACAAAATTGGAGCCAGCGGAAATTAACATGAAAAAGAAATGCAGCCAGCAGAAAAGTATGTACTATTTGACTTGAAAATAATGTCTCGCAATGAATAGTTGAACCCTCACTGATGTCAGCTCGATGTAGTAGTAGAGTAAAGATTTAGCATTCATGATCCGATAGAAACGTCAGATGGTTTGCTCCTCCTTAGACTCGACAAAGTGTCCAAGTGGATCTCTGCAAGGGAACTGGAGGTCACAAATAACCATCGCATCTAAGTTGTTACCGATTGCCATATTAAAATTAAATGCGTGGTCCACTCCATAGCACAAATTTCATCTGGAGTCAGGCACAGAAAATAATCATATGGGTTTTATTTATTGAGCACTCCAATGTGGGGATCGATGAGCTGCTTTCAGCTATGGAATGAATTGCGTAGCTCTCCAGCTGTCAAAGCAGATGCCATGTTGGATATGTAGGTGGTTCTTAGTTATCTGTCTTCGTCTTGGCCTGCCTGATCTTCCTGTCCAGATTGTCGCACGAATTGCCCGCGGATCCGAGGGCGCTGCTCAGCCAACCTCTTTCTGCTCTGATAGCGCACCTGAAAATAGGCGGACAAAGCCATCAGAAAGATACCGGTTCAATGCTAACCTTAGTCAGGCACAACAGCAAGAAAAAAGTGTCTTTTTCCTCAAAAGTGAAACAACAGTGTCAAAACCGATTATTGCCTAAAGATCATACTCCCCTCATTAGACATTATGAATTACTTTGTGGAATGTAGTAATTCACTGGTTCGATCCTGGTACTTATTAAAGTTTGGCCCACCCTTGGAAGAAACAACACTTTTTTATACTCTTTTCAAAAGTAGTGTTCACATCCGTACGAAGAAATTGTATCAATTGTCATTTTGTTTACCCAATCATTAGAATATACTACCACTCGTTTTTGCTATACTGAGTAGAATTCATAGCCCCCTCAAAGAGTTCAAGTGATTAATACTACTAATTTTAGGACTCATGACTTTGATAGGCGTGTAACTGAAAACAGGCTACCTTTTTTCCAAAGTTCCTCACTTTCCGTTTCTGTCTGAATTTGTTCAATGCAGCTTCTCGGTAACAGACCCCATTCTGATACAAGTCATTACCACTACCGCTCCCACTTCCATTGCCACCTCCAGCCCCATTTTCATCCACGATACCATTAACAGTCTCCATGTTTGGCCTCCCAACATTGGGAGCAGTACTAGGTCCTCTTTGCCCATTGTTTCCATTATGGCCACCTGAAAAGCTCCCGTTCACACTATAGTTTGCCGCATGACCTTCAATGGGAGGATCAAATACATTGGATGAACCACACTGAGCATCTGATGATCCTCGCTCAATGGATGGCTGCTGCTGCTGCTGTGTCATAACATGGACGTAGTAATGAACATGATGATGGTGCTGCATAAAGCTATTTTGTACATCTACAGGGTGGCCCACATTAACTCCATTAGCAATTCCTTCATCAACTTTGTCTTTCCCTACAACATTAGCAGGTGACGTTTGACGCTGCACAGGATGGAATGCTGATGTATGTTGGGTAGCTTTGACAGCTGATGGTGATATCACTTTTCCCCTGTTTGAAGAAGGTTTTGTGATGGCATTCTTAGTACTGGAGCCCATGTCATTGTTGTTGCTACTACCATTGGAGCCTTGCTTTATTTCAGCAGCATCTGAATTTGACTTCACCTTGCAGTTGGAGTCTGTTTTCAGAGCCTCTGAACTGTTATCTTGAGGTGAACAGCTTCCCCCAAATCCAGCTCCACCTTGATTAGAAGCCACAGTTGTATGGTACCTTGCAAGATAAGAAAACATTAGTACGCAATTTATTGCCATGTTCATAACTCAGGAGTGACACTGATATTATTTTTTGCACCTGGTGAAAGCTGAGAGATCTGATCTTTTCAGAATATTTCGTTCATCATGGATTTCAGTTGCAGATCCAGTTGTTTTCAATCTCTTCAAACCCAACTCTTCAGATGTCATATCAATGAGAGAATCACGATTTTTATCATTTCCATCTGGAACCTTGGAGGAGCAATCAGGAGCATTATTGATTCTAACTACTTGTTTGTCATCTGTGCTTCTGGCTATTGAACTAATTAAATCAACAGTTTGAGTAGTTGGTTCATTCTGTGTGTTCCTACTATCTGTTTCTCTTGTTGTTTTACTTTGGGGCATGAGAGTTTCATGCTGTTTTTCTGTTGGATTAACGGACATCTCTCTTGGAGAAGATTGGTACTCCATACTAGAATTTCTAGGAGCTCCTATTTCTAAGTACTTCCCCATGGAGTCATCTGAGAAAAGAAAGAAAAATGAGTATAGTTGGGTTGAACAAAAAGGTAACGTTTTCTATATTACCATGGATGTATCAAGCATAGTACCGTTATTTTCTTTATGTTTCTTTCCGCTCCTTTTATTTGCAGTCGGTAACCACCTGTTGCTGCATATCTCTGATGTGGGGTGAATTACTTGCGCACAAGTACTATCTGGTAGATCGGATGGTTGATCAGGAGACATTTGTTGTGGGCTGTCAATCTCCACTGCACGCTTTGTCCATGAACTCTGTGTTTTAAAACAGGCTGATGGCATGAGAATACATTGGCACAATTGTCCTACATTTAGAGAAAACTGTTCGCGAAGTTGTTTTTTCATTTACAACATTAGAATGCAACATTTTCACCAATCCACCTATTAGCATGTAAGTCAGTTTTACTGTAAAGTCTTATACAAGAGTTATATAATCAGTTTGGCTATTATGTGGCCATCGGCACATGTAAGTTGTTTATTTTGCATGGGTCTTTAAATGTTCCACAAAACAAGTAGTAGTAGTGTTTAATCCTGTATGGCTTAAATTTGAGATCATAGAAAGAGGCGATAGTGATTTCATTAAAAAAACTGATGGATCTTAATCCTCACACCATCAGATTTCCTGGCCCATCCCCAGGGATGGGTGGGGATTTAGGACTTGCCAAACGGGGCCTTAGTTGGGACACTATTGATTTGTGGTAACTCCATATACAACTCCAAAGCAAATCGTTACTTAGCTAGCGGTAAGAGAAACATGGCAATAATTTCAATAGTGTGGAGAAGTTTTACAGTATATTGTTATTTTTCTAATAATCAAGCAAATAAATCAATAAATCCTAGTTTTCTATTCTGCACCCTCTAGTTTCTATACATACATCACTGATAGACAGATACTCCCTCCAGTCATAAATATCTGTCATTTAGGACAAGATTTGGTCAAAAATTTGAAATTCTTACCATAAATTCTATATCAGAATAAGTTTATAAAACCTAGTAAGTTTATGATATTATAATAGTACTTTTCAAGGCAAATCGATGTCTACCAAATTTCCTGTTTGTAAACTAAGCATTTGAGAAATTATTGATGGTTGGAATTTTTAAAAGTTTAATCAAATATTGTCCTAAACATCAAATATTTATGTCCGGATGGAATACCAGTCAACATGTCACCAATTCACCACTAACGATTCAGTCCCCTAGTAAATCGTCTCTTCAACCTCCACAACAAAACCATCGGACATAAAGTCTAATCACTTGCACAAAATAGAGGTTTCTTACCATATAAACAAACATGCATATGAAGAAACTATTGGCAGTTGACATGATAAAAGGTAGTGTGCTATCCTCATGAAAGATCATGCCAATTCATATTTGGGATAGATAGATAGATAGATAGAAAGGAGGAAACATTGCAACTCTATTTGCTAGTATAAATTTAGAATTTTGGATATTTTGTATTATTTTCCATGAAAAAGAATTCAGGGTTAAAACATAAGGTTGATATACCCACTATAAAACAGCCGATAAATTTGATATGTATTTCCAGTTAATTTGCGATGAATGCTAGCAAAAAGTTCTAACTAGCGTTCATATTCATATATATCTAGCGATAGACATAACACATAAGAGTAACACTGTTTCGAAAAGTAGTAAACGGTCTCTTACTTGAGTGCCACTGCCATTATCACTGCCATCCCTAGCGTTGTGTCCAACACTTAAGTCGTCATCATCTTCATCATTGTCATCATCATCCTCGTTGTCATTATTGCTACCGCTGTTATTCTCATATTCATCATCAACCTTTGGTTTGGTACACTTTTGTGTTCGGATGCCACTTTCGCTTCCACTGCCACTGGACTGAATTACAAATAGACAAATTATATTCAGATTAGTCACATAAAAAATATTCAGACAAAGAAGTTAGAATCAAAATACTATGAGTTACACGGAGAGTTGGGGACTTGATCCCACATTAAAGGTAGGCCAACAAAAAAAAACAAACTTACACTGTGGCATCGTCTCCAAACATGCTGCCAAAGGTTCTTAAGTTCATTCTTACGTATAGGCTTCACTAGAAAGTCAACTGCTCCTTTTGACAAACACTTAAAGACTGTACCCATTGAGTCATTCGAAGACATCACTGCATGAAAATGACATCAGCATCAGTCAAACATATTCAGACTAAAAGGTTATGTAGAAATGTGTCACAGTATATAAGTGAAAAATGTGGTTGAGCAAGAATGCTACTTACTAATCACGGGAATATCCTTGCAAATTTTGTGGCTTGTGATCTTACTAAGCAGACCAATGCCAGACAGACGTGGCATTACGACCTCGGTCAATACAAGGTCAATGTGGTTTTGCAGATCTTCAAGACATTGCCATGCATGTAGCCCATTTTCAGCAGGGATAACTAGAATGAAAGAGATACAGTAGATGCCAAATCAATAAACTAACATAATGCAAAACATAGTTTTAGATAAACCTTCAGTGCTAAGAGAAACAAGCATGCATAATTCTAGTAAGACATATAACATACAATAAACATACTTTCCAGGTTAACAAACCAATCATGATGCAATTAACATGTTTACGATCCATAGAATTCACTTCAAGATGTATTTAATTATTCCTCCGAGTACAACAAACATTGCAGAGGCTGAGCTCAACGTTGTAAAGTTCTAGCTTCAATTGCTACGTGACAGTAGGAACACAAGTTCAACATTTGTCAAAACACTATAGTTGCATAGCCTTCCATAAGAACAAAAAAAGAACTTTCTCAGAGTCCAAACTGGAAAAAGGAATCATGTAAACTTATAGGTAACCTTCCAGAATGTAACTACCTAGATTTTGTGGTTAGTTCCATGCATATCCACCCTCTGCTGATATCGAATATCGGGAAATGGAAATATATCAGACCAAGTAAATAACAGATCATGATTTCATATACAAGAGCCTTTTCCCCTTCTTTTTCCACAGAATGTCCCTTTATATGTCAGATGTCAGTGGCATACGAGGAATATCCAAATTAATATTAACTTAGAATCATTTTGACATCAACAGTTAAGTGAAGATTGGGGCTTCAAATGGTCCAATTGTAGTAGCTGGTTGACACAAGGTGCACAGGTTGACACTATGTGCACTGTGCAACAACGTGAAAAGGGTCAGTTCTCTTACAGAATTTCCAATTGACATTTAACAGAGTTACAAAGGTAAAACATGATGAATCAAGAGTTATCCAGTTTTTACTAATTGCTAATAAAAAGCAGAACACTCATCGATGACAAGACAATACCAGTACAAATACAAAACTATTAAAACATTTGAACAAGACGATAGTTAGAAAACAAACTACATCATTAGGTCAGAGTTGACCATAATCGAGTTGTTCAAATCAGTCAGTGCACCTTATTCAAATCTTCTTCTACCTAGTGTAATAAGGTTAACTAAATAATAGATGTGGTTGAGTTCAACATGAAAAAAAAGAGAGAAACAATTGGATCTACTGGCCTTGATCATGTAACTTCCAAAATGCTTCCTTCAGCATAATTCGATATTTTGACAATTGCCACCAAGATTGGCAATCTAATTGTCTAGCAGGTAGTAGTAGTAGGTGTTGCATCCAGTACTCCCCATTCTTGAAGTTTAAACAGGTTTAGGAATCTTAAAGAAAACAGAAATCTAGGAGTATATTATCTATGTATGCTGTTTTTAATTCAAATATGTGTAATATTATGATTAATTTCATGGAGAGGACAGAATCATAGGGAATCCTGTCATGGAACTATTATTATCGACAACCCTGAGGTTATCATAAATTCATAAACCATCTTAATGTCGAGCAGGCCTTTAGCACATGAATGTCTGGGCTTGGTTCAGGTCTTGTAAAAAATTTTAAAAGAAGAGAGTGGAAGCAAGATTGACAAAAGAACAAACCAAAAATGAAACTGTAGGAATAGCACTATTGTTAGAGTTATCTAATGATAAAATCCAGGGCAAAGCCATGGTGCATTGCATGGCAAATACAGGAATCCAGTGTCACACCTATGTGACCAGATCACACTCTTATCTGAAAATGGCAGTTGGTGCATCAGCACCTGCACTTGGAAATCTGGAAGCGCAGAACCCTCTTGAATCTGCCCAATCAAATTGCAGAAGAAAAATCATGTAATGCAAGCATTCACAATCAGCAGGGTCAGGTCCAGCATGCAAGCATCAGGTCCATAGTCAATGCTCCTTCGGTATGGTAAATTGCTCTTGTAAATAGTCAATGCTACCATCATGTAAGTAGAGTGACCCTAGTGGCATTTTACCCTGGATCCAGCGCCAATAATAAGGTAGTTGAGCATATTAACAAGAGAAGAGGGAGGAGGGAGTAGTGATGCTGAGATGACTTGATGGTATGGCAAATTTGAAAATTGGGGGAACGTGGTGCTAACAGAAAATAACACCGATGCCTATAGCAGGTCTTTTCATGTCAGTTACTTGATCCAGGATACTGAAGAGATTGGTCCTGCGGGCAGCCTGTAGTAAAATGTAGAGGCACTATGTTCCATTTTTTTTTCTTCATTGGGAGAGGAATGTGGATGAGTACTTAAAACTAAATTCAAGACTATATAGAAAAAATCACCAGAATATCCCCAGTCCACATCTGGCCCACTAGTCTATCTTCAACTGCCATGTGTTGGAATATGCACTCGTCTGCTGTCTATGCTAACTATAGTGCCTGCCGTGCGTATTGGAAGCAGGCCTATGCGCTATACCCCTCTGGTTACCAAGAATGACCATGCCAATGAGACCAATCAGCTGATGCATAAAGATAGTGATATTCAATATTTGGAACCTTTCTTCTTAAGGAAAAAAGGGCAAGTCAACTAATTGTTAAGCGAGATAATTAGACAAAAAATGCCTTTTTCTAAATATAGCTTCATAGCATGGTGAATTTTTACCGCGTCTAAGTTCAAAAATGTGACTCAACCGCACTTTCTTTTTTACAATGCACAATACATATTTTTTATATAGTGGAGAGAGCAAATTTTCCCTTGTATAGAAAAAATCACAACTGAATGCAACATAAAACTGGAATTGAGAAATAAATATGTAGTTAGGAAACCTTTAGTCCCCGTTTGAACATGCTAAACATGAAGATTAAATATGTACACGTAAAACGAGAAAGTCATTAGCGCATGATTAATTGAGTTTTAATTATTTCAAATTTGAAAATGGATTTATTTGATATTTTAAAATAACTTTTATATACAAAGTTTTCACATAAAACAACATTAGTAGTTTGAAAAGCATGCTAAGGAAAACCGAGGTAAAATCTTCATCTTAATCTCCATTCTCCAATACGAATATGTGATCATAAAAGTAATTTAACTTCCCTCGGAAAATAGAAAAACTTATTAACAATAAATTGGTATTGCAATTTGCAGTGCATACCTTCATAACAACACTTACGAAGCAGTGCGCTGACCACCTGACGGGTAGAGTCATCATTCTCCACCAGCAAGACCCTCAGTGTCTTCACAGGGAGGAACCTCTCCCACCGGACAATCTGCACTTGGTGCTCCTTCTGTTCATCTGTTTGCTGGGGCTCTGGTGGTGTACTGTGCCCATTGGGTAAGTCCTCTCCCATGCCATTCCTCCATTCCTCCTCCTCTGGCTTGTGACTATGACCATTCTCCAGGATGCCATTCCCTGTCCCCTTAACATCGTCTCGGGAAGGCTCGTCCGTACCAGCTTCGCAGGCGCTACCCATCAACCAGATTGGAAGAGAGATAATGCGCCGTTGATCTGAGTGACTAGGGATAGTTCACAGATTGTGGGGTGCATCATACGCCCAACGTTAGAAAAAGCATATGCTGCACCCAGTCAGCTACTTGGATCTGCCAGAAACACACAGGAATCAAAGAGTCCAGTCTATTATGAACAAGACATGCTCGGAATAAGCTTTCTACTTTTTCCTATACAAGGTAATAAGCTACTCTTATATGCGGCAATGGTCTGAGAGGACTACTTCAAGCCGAACTGAAAGGAATACTTCACAATCAATTGCTTCCGAGTCCTGAAAAGCATCGAACATCTGATCAAAATTCGGGGGAAATCCTCAAAAGAGGAGATCCGGAGCCGTGAGGATTCACCTACTTTAGAAACTTGCTGTGAGTAGAGCAGAAACCAGCGCCTCCCACAAAAGTCCTACCAATTCACGGCGCTTGGGGAGCTAAAATGGCAGTAAAATTAGGCTTTATCAGGTCAGTCAGACGATTCTCAAACAGTCGGGCTAAAAAAAAAATCAGAACGGACGAAGCGCTCGAAGCATGCCTCAGCCTGAGAGAAGAGGAAAGAAAATCGCTAAGAAAAAAGCGGGTCGCCGTACTCCTCCACCCGTGCCGGACTCCGGCGGCGAGCGGCCGAGATCCGCCGGTTTCCAGACCCCCTCGCACCCCCTGCCGCACAAAAACAAAAAAGCCTATAAATCAATCGATCCCCAAACCCCAACGCGACCGAGCTCTTGTCGCGCACGCGGCGACGTACGGCGGGGCGCCGCACCGTGGGGAGCTCACGTATCGGAGGCACAAGCCGGCGGCGAGGAGCCGTGAGCAGCGGCGGGCACAGGCACCCGCGCGCGCGCTGCTGCTGCTACGGCCAGAGCTGGAAGCCGTGGTGGTGAGAGGCGGAAGGCGGAGGAGGAGGAGGAGGCGGTGGTGGTGAGAGGAGGCGGTAGATAACGGGGGAGGAGACGGGGGGAGGTGACGTGGAGCAAGTGGAGGTGGGGAGGGTGTGGGGGTGGGGCCCGCTCCGCCCGAGATCCGACGAAATCTAAAGCCGCGCGCTCCCGCAGTTGGCCCGGGATCCACCCCCGCAGCGGAGATCGCCTCCGTCCACGTGGCCGCGTCCTTTGCTGGGTCGCTGCGGACTGGGCCTTTGTGGGGCTGGTTGGGCCGAGGATTGGGTGTGGGGCCAGGAGGCGGCGGGGCCCACGCTCCGGTGGGAAAGATCGTCACGGCATGGTTTGACGGCGTTTAAGCCGGGGCCTTGAGAGTGATTTGTGAGCAAGAGCACCGCCGCGTTCTTCCTTCTTCCGGAGCTGGAATTGTTTGGCATTATTATTACTATCTTTTTATTTGCCTTTTCGCTATAGTGGTCGGTATCATTATTTTGTGCCTGGGAAATAGCCATCTTTCCACCAAAGCTTAGCCCCTTTAAATTGGAGGAAAAAAAACTGAAATCCTACACTATCCATACCTTTAATTCGTAGGAATGAGAAAAGAAAAAACATAGGAAACTTTCCTATTCCTACTATTTTAGAGGAAAAATGTAAAAAAATTAACATCCATTTTAACCTCTTGAAAAATTTCCTTTAAGTCTATCTCTCTCATTTGATTCCCACGTTTTTTCCGCGGTCCAATTAAACGGTCATTCATGTGTTTTACAATCATCTGTTTTACACTTGCATTCCTATCAGAATCATGTGTTTTTTTATTCCTCTGTTTTTTTCACTCCTGCGATTCAAAGGGGCCCTTAACATATACTTTCTCCGTTTCAAAAAACTTAACCTAGTACTAGATATAGGCATATCCATATTCGTAGTACTACAATGTGTTAACATCTAGTACTATATCGGTTTTTTATGGAACGAAGAGAGTACGTCTTATGGTAGTAGGTCTTAAATTGAAAAGGATACGGACCTTATTGCTTACTCCCTCGATCCCATAAAAACTAACCTAGATGAGATGTGATGTTTTATAGTACAATGAATATGCGGCCGAGTTTAGTTCCCAACTTTTTCTTCAAACTTCCAATTTTTCCATCACATCAAAACTTTCATACACATACAAACTTCTAACTTTTCAGTCGCATCGTTTCAATTTCAATAAAACTTCTATTTTTGGCGTGAACTAAATACACCCTGCATTGTACTATAAAATGTCGCATCTGTCCTAGGTTGGGTTTTTTTTTACGGAGGGAGTATTCTCTCCGTTTAATATTATAAGTCGTTTGATTTTTGTCCTCGTCAAAATTCTTTAAGTCTGAAACAAGTTGGTAGAAAATATAGTAATATTTTCAACATAAAACAAACATATCATCAAAATATATTTATATTGTAGATTTTTTTTAATTTTTTCTATAAACTTGGTCGAATCTAAATAACTTTTACTAGGAAAATAGTCGAACTACTTATAATATGAAACAGAGGGAGTAATGGAGTAATTACTAAATAATGATAACATGAATGATGTACTCTTAACTTTATACTACATTGCTTTCGAAATAGTTGTCTTTACTAAATTCACATTTTGTCCTAAAATACTTGTTGTCAGTTCAAATTTCTTCTGATTATACCCCTCAATTATTATTTCACTTCTAACCGTACATTATTAAATAAGAGACATTATAGTTTTTTTCTTAAATCTTAATTTATGCTAAACTATTTAGAATAGGAAGTATTTTGGGACGGGGAGAAGTATTATTGATCATTACATGGATATGATGAGATATGTCTGCTTCGACTAGTTTCTGGAATCATGATAAAATCAACGTTGTCATTGCAAAGTTATCCTCTCCTGAAGCATCATTTAATTCTCTCGGTGGTTGAAAGGATATCTTTTATAGGTGGTAGAAAGGATTATTTGTTAATAAGGGTTACAATTTTAATTTTTCGGTTGAAGCTTTGACCATTAGTTACTCTTAAATTGTTACTCCCTTCATCTTAAAATAATTTAACCTAGAATGTGATGTGATCCATCTTAATACAATTTGTTAATCGGGGTTACAATTTTAATATTTCAGTTAAAGCTTTGACCATTGATTACTCTTAAATTGTTACTCCCTCCATCCTAAAATAACTTAGCCTAGAATATGCTGTAATCCATTCTAATACAAGAAATCCGAATAAGCTTTTGTTGAGATTCATTGTACACTAGGATGGATCTCACCATATATTAGGTTGAGTTATTTTAAGATGGAGAGGGTAGACCGGAGTGAACAAAAGTTTTATACTTATATTTAAAGCATAACCCACTTTAATACATGACATGGTTTTTAGTGTTTATAAATATTTTTTAGAAAGATGAGTGTTTGAAAGAGAATAGTGTATCGTGCCAATTATTAATAAACAGAGTGAGTATTTTAGAAGATTGCATGTCTAGCCTAATAGAAGATTCACCAATCACCGTTAGACCATTCCTAATAAGAGTTCCATTCTCACTAAATAGGGTGTCATGTCAATATATCTTTTATGATGTGACAAGAAATTAATAAAGTGAGAGATGAAATGAGTTTCATCTAGATGAAACCATGTTTACACTATTTCTAATACAATTTATCTCTTGCATGCGCTATCTATGAAACAATAAAAATAAAACCACGCATTGTGTGAGTTGTTTCAATGATCAATTAAATGTGTTGGTGCTTATGTGGCACCTTTGAAAATACAAAAATGACGCTTCACTGAGAATGGCCTTATGTTTTTTCATTTGTGCCATCTCATATGTATATTTTATTTTTGATTATGGCCTTGATGAATTTGATTTTGCCTTCAAGATCTCGAATATCATCAGTATGTCAGGTAGGAAAAAAAATGATTGAATGGACAGTTAGCTCTATCCTCATCTTTTGCAGAGTTTAGGGGTACGTTACTAAGTTAGTCACCTTACTACCAAACATTATCAGAAGAGGATATATAATTGATAATAAGGAGTATGTTTCAGTGCGATATAGTTGGAAAAAAAAACTTAAATTAGCACCGGATCGATTTCTTAAGCATTCTTCTAAACTCTTGCGTAACCTACGAAACAAATCTGTTAGTTCGGAGGATCACTATTCTATTTATTAAACTATACTTTCTTTTTTGTCCTAGCTATGTAGTTTAAGTTCACGATTACGACGGAAACCGGCAGCAGGTAGCTAGAATGTTCTGAAGGCTTATGATTAGTACTTGATTGCATGGTGGAGCTAGGATTTTAGGTCGATAAGGTGTTATAGTCGACTATCTAACAATCATATGTTGCAAATGATGTATGCAAAAATCATAAAAAATAGTGACGAGTAACAAATTTAAAGAGACCAACTAATTTCGATGAACTTGTGTATTAATCCACACTCTCTAGTAATATTAATGTTTGATACATTTTATCTGTACTAGTCGTTTCATTAACACGTGGTAATTTTCTTTTCAAGAATTGTTTCCATCATATTCATACATGTGGTAACAAAATGTATCCACTTGTTTCAATCCGTACTAGTTTTGGGTTGTAAATAACAAGCTTGTTAGCTGTTGCCCGTGTTAGTTACTCAGATGTTGTTTATGGGTTGAGCAATTGTGCGAAGAATGGGCCAATTATGGCTGAGTATTAGTGTCAATAGACAATATTCATTGGTGTCATCCATGGAAGAATAGAAGGGAGTACATGGAATAGGCCAAAGACCACTGGTGTCATGTGACACCATTGCTATAACACTAGCTCCGCCCCTGCTTGACTGCTTATAAACTATATATGTGGCATCATCGACAACTAAACTATAAATGTACGAATCATAGGTATAAGTCTATAATCCTATTTAGACTATTTTTCTTTAGACTTATAAGCCAGCTTGTGAGACAAAAAAAAACTAAACTTAAACAAACGAGTAGTTTTTACATTTGGCTTTTCAAGCTAAAGCCACTCTCACACTGTTAAAATTAAAAGTTAGGCTGGAGAAGTTTTTTTTCCTCTTATTTGAAGTTGGGTATTGTCAACGTTTTAGGTCACGACTACGGTATTTGTATGGTATGGGAATCGTTGGTACCAGGGTATATGCGAGATTGAGGTAAAAGAGACAGAAACAAATATTTTTATACAGGTTCGGGCCTCTTCATAGGAGGGTAACAATCCTACTCCTGTTGGCCGAAACCGGTCTTGCTCTTATTCATCAGAATCAAACAAGTACAATATTTGGGATAACTTATCTAGCTGTCGTTGACTTGGCGGCATGGATCACCAACACATAGTCGACGATAGGGTAGTCTTCCCCCCTCGAATACGAGCTCGTCGAGACGAGATCAGAGACGGCGTTAGATCCCTCTTGTCGGCCTCCGCGGGCACCAGATTGAGTCTGTCTAGGCTAATCTCTGATGTCGATATCTGGCGACGTATTGGTTTGTTCTGACTTGTCTTGGTTTGTGTGTCTCTTCTCCTTCTAAGGGGTCTTGTATTTATACCCATAGATGTCCCTTTGTCCAAATAGAACTAGGAAGACTAATATGGATACGATCCGAGTAGTCCTTATAGTTTCCATGTAGAACTCGGAGAGCGCTACGGCTCAGACGTCCGGCATCACACCAAAAATCGGACGTCTAAACGAGCGCATGTGAGAACGAACCTTGTCCTGTAACGTACTCCGTATGTGTCTAACTGTTTCTTTTCATTCTTTCCTCCTCTCTTTAAATAGTTTTTCTCCTAAATTACTTATCTGACCTATGATCCGATCACACCGTTGTATTCATTGCAATTAAATTTTTACAATAAGATATCACATAATTATATTATGTCAAAAGAAAAACATGTGTTTCAAACTGTTAGAATAAAATGTTTCATACGTGATAGTGATAGGTTTCAATATGTGTCTTCGGTGTGTTTCACAAAATTCCTGAAATTAACTGCTACTACTCTCTCTCCACCTCATGCATGCATACATGCATGTATTTTAGCAAGCTTCAAAATGA